AACTGAACCCTAAACCCCAAAACCCTAAACCCCAAGCCCCAAGCCCTAAGCCCCAAGCCGCAAGTCCTCGGTTCCTTAAACCTCTAAGCCTTAAACCCTGTACCCTATGTTTTATACAATATTTATTTCGTATACCGTAAAATCAATTTTAAAACTATGGTTTTGTTCCTACCTAAACACCCCCAAATCCAACGTATTAGTACGATACTTAATTTCTAGAAATTAAGAATTTTGCTAAGAATTAGGGACAAAAGAGCTAAACAATTTTTATTTAGCCCAAAACAATTACCAGAAAACACCGCAAAATGTCCCAGAAAGCCCTAAACCAAATTCCGGAAAACTGAAGGCGTTTCTTTCAGCCCAGTATAGTGTTTGGAACGCCTATGTGAATTCTTTTGTTTGGTTAGAGCCTAGAAACCGAACGGCCCAAATCCGGACATAGGTGAAAAACCGGAGTTGGTATCGTCATGAAAACCCAAACAGACCCGTTGAAGGCGTAATTCGAAGAATGGCTGTGCCGAACTCGCCGTCCTCTCCACTTTCTAGAGATGAATCTTCATCACCTTCAAAACTAGAATCGTCTGAATCATTGGCGTCGATTGCACAGAATCTTCAACGTACGGTCCTTCAATCCTCTCCCATTCGCGCTGCTCGTTCTCTGGGACATAACTCTTCTACCCATATCCGTTCCTTGCAGGTTTGCTTATCTTCCCGTTTTTGGTTCGTTTTTCTTCTCTCCATCTACATATGGCCCCATGCTCTTTCCGGATAATCTTGTGTAGTTTTATGACCGCATCCATTGGTCACCGGTTCTATGTATTCCGCTGGTTATTCCCAATATAGTTTTTTACGTTATCGATAATTGTGGTATTTCGATTCTATGGGATTTCCTATTATAAATGGAATGATATAAACCAACGTAACCTATGGACAGTATGATAACTGTAAAATAGTTTTTTTTTTTTCTCTGAAGCCATGGAGGAAATATATGGGCGGTAATCATACTGATAGTATCTTGTTCGGTCTGACATTCTACATTTCATAGAGGATGATTTATTTTAATGATTTTTGCATTCGATATTTCCTTGCTGGTTTGATTTATTTTATTGCCAAGACATGTGGATTATTTTGTGATTGTCAATTCCCAAGATTACCATATCCTTAAAGGGGCACCTGGTAGAGGCATGCTGCATGCGATCGCAGGATGAATTGGCTCCTTTAGAGGGGTTACTTATCTTCAAGGATGGAAAGGCTCTCTAAATTTAATCCTGAGCTGTTGCATTAAGAATTCAATGGAGGATACCCTGTCCGCTGTTTTAGATTTTCGTATTATTAATTCCTCATTGAAGAATTACTTTTTCGTTCAAAAAAAATGACCGTCTCGCAGGATATATTTCCAGAAGTTATATCACAGTACAGAACTTATGAAGATGCTTTCATCAATAAAGTTAAAGGTGATTAGTTATGGCTGGTACCATTCTTTTTCATTCTAAGATAAATGGTTCGCTGAATGGTTTCGATCCTTAGAGTTAGTGTTTCCCATAGATCAGTGTAGTTGCTAGTTCTTGTGTTTATTGTATTTACATGGCATTCATTTGTGATCTCCCCCTTTTGCAGAGGGGTTGATGGTTGCCAGGGAACAGCCGACCATAGTTATTGGGTTTGCACTTGCTGCTACCCTTGTTATGCGCGGTACTATATTTTCCTGTCTTTGCACATAAAATAATTTTTATATACTGTTCAATGTACTAATTAGTAGTTTTCTTTAAATTTTTCAAACAATATTAGCGCATCTTCATGGTGTCAGGTTTTTGACAATAGTCAAGGAGTTTTAAACCTATCTGAATGTGTCAGCTTGCTATTTTGTAGGAAAAATTCTCTAATAGTAAACTCTTATTTTTTGTATATGGGATTAGTTATTGGTTTTCTTTAAAGGTTTCTCAAACATGATTACTGCATCTTTATGTTGTCATATTTTCTGACAATAGTCAAATGATTATTATTCTTATCTGCATTAGTCAATTTACTATATAGTAGTTAAAATTATGAGCGTATCTCTAATATTAAGCTCGTGCTTTTGCATATGTGACTAGTGGTGCAGCAAGGTTGCTGAGCACTTGCTAGTGCAAGTAGTTGAATAGAGCTTTGTATGTTAACACTCTTGGGGAAACACAGAAATTTAGTAGTGTGCTCACTTGGATTTCTTCATCAATCGTGTAGAAATTTTTTAAGTGGGAGTGAAAGTATGGCATAAAAGTAATAAGATATTTTCATCTAGCCTCTCGAGTGTTTTCAATTTATGAGATGGAAAATACTTCTGAAAATGTATGCACATGTCCCACAGTCAGTGTTCCTTGTACCACCGCCACTGACCATTGCTCCTATCAGATGTAATTGGAGGACAAAATTGTGTGGAAGTGGGTGAAGAATCAAAAGCGTCCCTTATCTGTCAAACTTGTTGTGCTAGTTCTCGTCTTGTTTGTAAAACCCCATACTGTCAAATCATGCTCTCAAGCGAAGTTCAGAAAGATTTGAAAGTTTTATCATCTTTCTAATCTTTGAATCAGCCGTATATTTAGTTTAGAGATTTTTTCACTTTAAAAGCCAATGACCCTAGTTATGGGATTGGGATAGTGGTGGGATGCAGAATAAGAGTGGGAACTTTGCACGATGCAAAGGTAAATTGGAAGCATTAAACTTCTCTCATTGAGGGCATTAAATTAGGTGTTGTATATGTGAGCAAACCCAGATTTAGGATTTTCCTCTTATTGACTGACATTAGAATTTGTCATCAAAGTAATTTTCAACATTTTTTCCTTTCTACAGTTATTGCTACGCTTCCTTTTGAATTGAGTCTTAGATTTTTCCTTTAAAATGTGCTTACCCATTTGCGTTTTGGCAGCTCCAAGGAGGTTTTTATTTCGTCATACATTAGGTCGACTCCAAAGCGAGGAGGTATTTCTTTGAACAACCAAACTAATTCCCCTTACCACTTAACTTATGATTCTCAATATTTCTGATCTAGCAACCTGCTCTTTTCTTCAACTTGCAATTTGAGATCTAGGATTATATTTTATTAGATATTATGCACTATAATGCTTAAATATTTCTCCAATGCATTGCCTGTGTCTGATCCTTCGCCTATATTGCTTGACTTCTTTTAAAAGGCACAGTATGCCAGTGCTGAGAAGAATGTGAGGGATTTGAACCTCTCAGTAGATTTAATGAGGAAGGAGAGCAAAAAATTGCTCGAAAGGACAGCTCTTGCTGAGAAGGATATGAGATATGGGCATAATGAACTCGTGTATGCGTTATTTTATTAAAGGAAGAATCTATGGGTTATTTGACTATATCTGACATGGTTTTCATACTGTATTTGAACAAAACTCAGGAGCTCGGGAGCCCAAATTCAACATCTTGCAAAATCAATTTACAAGGTTGAAGCCAAAGCTGCCGGTAGCCACGTGTCTCTTTTTGTCATCCAGAAACTTACTGCTTTGTAATTTTAGCATTGACATTGTAATGCTTTGTCTTGTCCCATTTTAGATCTCACGGATGGGCTCCGGCATATACCCAGTCGGGAAGCTCTGGCACTTCGAGCAGAGGTATGTTCATGAATATGCATGCCTCCCTGAAATCTAGTCAAGCAAATGATATTGCTTAAGCATTGTCTACTCTCTCCCTAAATTGCGCCCTTGCTTAGGTTGCTTCCTTAGCATCGATTTTGAAGCGGCAGAGACTTGTGCTTCACAGACGGACAATGAAGATCTCCGAGTTAGGGGTTCCTGTGTGAATTAGTAGACAAATATATTGGGCTGTTGCTTGATGACATCTATCTTCTTTTTGGACTTTTCATCATTGACTAATAATAAGGGATATTCTCCCTTTTAGGAGGCGGATTACTGCAATAAGGGAGATTTGGAAATTTTTCGGGGGTGTAACGATGCAACAATTTAGGCTTGTTCGATCAGTTATGGAGAACTGCTTCCCCCCCCCCCCCAAAAAAAAACCCCACCCCAAAAAATTAAAAGAAAATTCGGCGGAATAGATATTTTTAATTTTCTTTTACTGAATATTTATATTTTCTTTTAATCTTTTGAATTAAAAAATAATAATTGATTATTTGTTCACATTTGTCATATATTGTCATTGATCATTACCAACTACGACTAGTGTTGATCGTTGTTGGCCGTTGTCGGTTGTTTTATTACTGATTCTTTTGTTCTTTATTCTCATCACTGATTCTTTTGGTCATTTTCTTACTGCTGATATTTTTATTTTCATTCAGTCTTTTGCCTCACTGTATAATAAAAAGTAAATAAATAGATAAGATGGTCTTGCGGTGTGCTATCATTATATTACGGCTTTGAATGTCAGTGACCTCAAGACTGAGGTGGTTAATGGTAAGCATACCACTGGCATAACAAATTCAAAGCCTCAATTTAAATCGTGAGAAAATTTTCGCCCAAAAAGGAACCTGATGGTGAAAAAATTGTGCCGTAACATGATGAACCACACATGAAATAAGACCATTGAGTGGCACCAAATTTAAAAGAAATAATGTGCTCATTGTTTTAGCGGTTAGGAGTTATGGGTGTACCAAAGTTTTTAATTCTTAGTATCATTTTAAAAGTTACAAAAACGTAATGATATTGTTTTGAACATTATTTCAGTTAGTTTTGACCATTAGTTTGAGTCGATTGAACACATGGCATGTCATATCATCATCTCTCCCTCCCTCTCTTTCATATCACTCTCCCTCGTCATCTCTCCTAACATCAGAACCGGAATACTCCTCCAAGGACTCTTTCGCTGCCTTTAAGCTTATGTTAAATTCCTTCAACACCCTCTTGGCCAATTCCTTCAAAGAAAACCCCTCCAACTCTTAACAACAAAAGCCTTGACTTTTGTGTTCTAATAACTGTAAATGGCCGAAAGAATTAAACCTTCAAGACTCAAAAAAAGGATCAGGTTGCTCTTCCTCTTTTATTTTTTTCCAAGGGACTGCCTCTAGGAAATTAACGCATGAACAAATGCAATCCTCAACAACAATTCAAGGGCAACCGCGAGGATACCGAGTACAGTGGCTACACTACCAATGCTATTAGCAAAATCATTAGTATAGAGCAATTCAAGTACCATGAGATGGAACTGAGTTGAACATAGAGTAGAAGGAATACTAAGATTTAGTCTACATAAGTTATCGAAGTCATCTAATTTGGATTGGCCCATCCATCGCTTAGATAAGAGAGTAAGACAGTAATTCGAACAACAGACAATATCAACGTGGAGAGAAAATAGTCAACAACGTGAGAATCAGAAGAAGATTCAGTTGACGAGGCGACACAGATAAAGATGTGAAAAATGAGGTCAACGATAGAAAAGTCATTAAAAGATGTCATTGCTGGCAACACCAATGGTGCTTGGGGTATGACATCAGGATTGGGTTACTTTAGCAACACTTATGTTGGAGAGTGATAAGTTGATTGTGGACAAATGGTAGCTACTAAAAGGTTCGGTGGCGCTTCTTGGGGCCGTCAATTATCATTCTGCAGGTGATATGGGAGATTCAAAGACGAATTAAATTAAACAAGGAAGGAAAAAGCTGTAAGGCAAAATGGAAAATACATCCGAATGAGAAGTTATTATGGGTTAAAGTAGGCGTGGGGTTAATGCTTAAGGGATGAGCAAGTCCAACAAAAGGGATGATGAGGTGGAAGAAAGGAAGGGAGAAATGGTTCGCATGCCATGTGGCACATCATGTTCAATCCGACCAAACTAGCTGTCAAAATGAACTGAGATAACATTCAGGGCATTGCTGCGGTTCTGCCACTTCAGAAGCAGTATTGAGACCTCAAAAACTTTCAAACAGCCAAAACTCTTGGTCATATATTTTCAGGGCAAATTTACACCTTATCCTAGTTTAAAATTATAGATAGACCAGCTGCTGAACAATTTGAACGAAATGGGAATTTAACACGACATGCTGGGGAAATGTGAATATAAGATACAGGGAGCGAGAGGAGAGAGAACACAGCCAGAGTCGAAGTAGCATAATTAGATTGAGAACCTTGTGTAGATTGTTACAATGAGTTATCTTCCAATAGATCAAACTTGTTTAACAACTGTTCCAGTTCTAGTAAAGCAATCATGTAATGCTCTTGGGACTGAGCCCCTTCTTCTAGCAATGGAAGAGCATTATAAAATAGTTGTTTATGCCAGACAACGGCGTTGTATGTATCAGCGTCACCAAAGACATGGTCTCCAATAAACCGTTGTTTGAAATCTTTCTTCCATCGTTCCAGAATGTACCGAGATGGGACTTCCTCCACACCATTATAATTCAGAACATTCAGTGCATGCCTACATAGATAACCTTTGAAATTGAACAAGCCGCAGATACACCGTATGTCTACTTCATTTGTCTCATATAAGACTTCAAATTTCTTAACCTCCTTCTCATTTCCCCCATTTTCAACTCGTTCTATCACTATATATGTTATTATAGATCCATTAGCATTTACCTGTCTTGTATTGAAGCAGGAGTACATACCCTCAACCTCAGACTGGAACTTTTTAAAGATTTCTTCTGTGTACAACTTGGATAGCTGCAGTTCAAAATTACATCTTGTAGTCAATACAACACTTGATTTCCTTGACTCCAACTCTGCCATGGCTTCTTTCAAGTTCTTCCTATGTAAAGCTAAGTCATACTTGTCAATAAATTCCTTGAAGGATGTATGCTTGTGTACATATCCGTCAAAATAGGCAATCAGGCCCTCATTCTCTTTTGTAGGGACCATTCCTGCCAAAAAAGTGTCCTTGATGTAAACCGGAACCCACAGGTGCCTATCGTCATACAATCTTTGAAGCCATTTGTTATCTCCCAATCCATGCTGCTTGATCATATCAGCCCAATAATTTTCAAACTCGACTATCTTTAGGGACTCATAAACTGCTCTGTTCAATTGCCTTTTGATTGTTTCATATCCCTTCAACCCTCCCAACTTTTCTGGAACTCTCTGCATGATATACTGCAAAGAATAACAATGATGAGCATGAGGAAAAACCTGAGCAACTGCAGTTTGCAAGCGCTCGCACTGATCAGTAATAACAACATGTGGTGGGCAACCAAGCATACATTTTAGCCATGCATTAAATATCCAAACAAAATTATCAACTTTTTCATACCCAAGGAAGCCACAGCCCAGTAGCACCGACTGTCCATGGTTGTTTACACCAACAAATGATATCAGAGGGATCTCATATTTGTTTGCCAAACAAGTTGTATCTATAATAACAGTGTCATTAAAGTAACTGTAACATACCCTCGACCTGGCATCAACCCAAAACACATTTCTTAGCTGCCCATCATCATCAATATCGAATAAGTAAAAGGAATTCGGGTTTGTCAATTTCATTCGGCAAAAATAATTATAAATAGTATGGCCATCCCCTTCTTTAAGTTCCAAATATTTCAAATTATCAAAGCTGGTCCCCTGTCCTTCAACAAAATTGGAGAACCCATTATAACCAGCATCCATGAGAGCTGTTCGATACAATTTAATGGTATGTGTTTCTGTAATAGGATCTGGTGGTGGTTGTGCTTCTCTGGCTGCAAGTATCATTTTCTTATGGGACTTATAGAACCGTTTAATTCCAGGATTCACTTGATGGTTGTGTTGCAGTTTAACTTCCACTATCCTCCATATTTGGCCATCCACCATCCTAATGACTATCATTGCAGGGCAACCAGTTCTTGTCTCTGGTCTTGGATTATGGGCTTCACTCTTTTTCTTGAAACCAGCATTACTGCAGCTGAGTTTTGCCCTATACCGCTCCTTCCTCCTTGATCTAAACCATGAGTTGCTCACTCTAATGCCAAAACCTTGTTCTTTAGCATAAACATTGTAAAAGTTGTAAGCTTCTTCAAAAGAATCAAACTCCAGGCCCACAGTTGGAGGTGGATGGTTCTTTGATCTTGAGTCCAAAGACTCATGATCATGCTCTGATGCAGAAGAGTTCTCAACATCAAACTCATCACATTCATCAAACATTGGCTCACTATTTAAAGAAACTTCTTCCATCTGAAACAAAAATCAAAAATCAAACATAACGCTTATAACACAACACAACAAATTATATCTTACCATATCCAACCCTTTGCAATAAATTCCTTCGAAAACATAAGAACTCATACATGTTCATTGGCCTCACAAAATTATGGTTGCCAGATTTAATGGATGAAATTTAAAATGCAAATGAGAATATTATGAAGGCATGCACGAGCCTGCCAGTCATGCCATATGCCACAATAATGGGATTTTTGGTAGTCAATATTTCGTTTATTCAACAAGCTAATGGTTAAAAAACCCAAAAGGGTGGGGGGGAAGAGATGATGATGATGATGATGATGATATGGAATTGCAGACATTTATTGAGCAGTCAAGGGAGGTGAGGTAGAATGTACCAAAATGAGCAGCAAATCTTAGCTTTGCCCCTTATTGTACAAGATGCAATTTCTATTACCTTTTCAGTATCTCCAACTCCATATTATGCCATTTCACATCATGCCCCAATTTCCATGCATGATAGTAATGGTATTAAGCTATATCCTTAACAAGTGTAAAGAGGTAATTCACTTAAAAAGTAAGTGGCTGCGACAGACTGAACACTAAAACAAAAATCTCGATAAATAAAAGCATAGAATGTAGCAATTTGACTGCGCATGGGAGACAGGGATGAATGCCTCATAAAGGGAAACTGGCAGGCCTAACCTTCGTCCATATAAGAAGGGTGGAAATTGGAAATTCAATAGTCTGGTCATTATGTATTTTACAGCGTCAGGGTCTAGAGTACTGTTATGAAATTATGGATTTAAATAAGAATTCGTCAAGTTTGTTAATTATTAAGATTTGAATATTATTCTATTATTAAGAGGATTTAAACAGGATTTAATTATATTAGTAGGAGTTGCGTAGATTAGATACTTCCTCCGGTCCTAAAAACCCTAATGTTTCATCTTTTGATTATCAACCCCTTGCTGTTAGAGTTAATACTAAAGTTAACAGCTTTGCCCATATTAAAATTTTTATATATGTTATTATATGACATATCATTTAAAAAAATAATACTTGCAATTTAACATGTAATTTTGTATATTTTTTAAATACTTAAAATGAAATACTTAATACTTTAAAAAATATGAAATATTTCTATACTTCAAAAAATTATTTAAAATACCTATTTGATTAAGTACTTTTTAAATAAAAAAGTATAAATTACTTAAAATTACATGTCAAATGCCAAGTGTTATTTTTTAAATGACATGATATAATAAAAAGTTGAGTTAATATAATCTTTGATCTCTCAAATTTGCCTCTATTTTGGTTTTGATCTCTCAAGTTTCAAACCATAGGTTTTGGTCCTTTAAGGGCAAAATGGTCCAAGTTTTCACTGGATTATAAGAACCAATGTTTTAAATAAAAAGAAACTTGAGTGACCAAAACTTATGGGTTGAAACTTTAGGCATTAAAACCAAAATAAATGCAAACTTGAAGGACCAAAGTTTGTATTAACCCATAAAAAATATAAAATTTTGACATGACAAGAACTATTAACTTTAAGGAAATTGATGATAAAAAAAATGAAATATTAGGGTTCTTAATTTAAACTTTCAAAGGTTAGGGAGATTACACGCGATTGACCCAATGTTCAAGGACCTTTTTTGTACTTTAGCCGAAAATTAATTAAGCTAGTTATTTATAAATAATATATGTTAATTTCACTAAAGTATTTTTAATTATTTGCATTGGAAACTACATCGATGAAAAAAAATACTCCCTTAGTATGGACAATCAATAGGGAAAGTTTGGCCCGGGGGGGAGTTAAAAATTTAGAAAACAAAAAGGACTGAGATCTTATATTTAAGACTAATACAGACGCATCTACTAACTCTTACATTTAGAACCGGAGGGAGTATTAAAATTTATATCTATTAGGACTTGTGCCCATAATTTTAGATTCAAAAAGACTGATATTATTCACGTCATTCTTTGCTCTCTATCCCTATGTTTCATTATCTCTCTTTTCCTCTCTCTTTCTCAACTAAATAACATAACAGGTGCTGTCCGACCGATTGGTTTTTTACATAGAAAACCCAGCTTGGCTGGAAGCATTTGCCTAAAGACCAGATTGGCATAAGGCATGTGTTTCCTCTTGGAATGAAAGGCGTCAAATTAAAGTTACCTAGTTAGCTAACAACAACAAATAGGACACAATTACAGTGCTCTAATTCACACCAAAGAAATCCACTTTACAGTATCTTTAAAAAGCCTGCAATGTGCTATAAACTGAAAATATGAAAATCCTAGCAGGGAAGTGAAAAGGTCCAGAGCAGGGAAGAAAAGCTGAGTGGTAAAAATGGAAAAAAAAGGATTTAGGCTGTTTGTTTGGAAGAAAAAGTGATGGAGACTAATTTAGTGTGGGATGTCTGAGTCCTACATTAAATGGTTTGGGATGTTTTATGAAATATTAAGTAGGTTTGTTCTTCCACCTTAATAGTTGGCCTTTGGGAGCAAGTTTTCCATTCCATTTGAGTACTTCTAATATATACACAAAGATTAATAAAGATCATGCAAGCAATGGAAACTGTAAATTAATAATAGCTGCACAATGAAATGTATATATTGATATACTGATATTCGCATTTGTATTTTCTACAAGTTATTTTTCTTCGAACAGGCATATATTTAATTACCAAATACAATCAAATGACTACATTTTGGTCCTTCTAATTATAATTTTGGGCTGTTTTTAAAATCAAATTTGGGCCACTGGTCTTATTCTGTAGCTAATTCTATGAGGGGTTTTCAAGTGTCCCTTTTTTCTTGTCTCTTATTTCTTTCCTTAGTCCATAAAGCTATTATGGCCTTCTTTGTTGAAATTTATTAGATGAAACATGCAGACGTTCTTAAAAAAATTGAATATTTCAATGCATTGCACGGGAAGGTTTCAAGCTGTATGTGACTTATGATGTTTGGCGCACAAAAGTTTATTTTCCTGTACCAGGCAAAGACAAATCAAAACAAGAGGATACTCCCACTTTCCACGTCATTATTTAGAAGAAAAACGTGAAAAATTATTACTTTCCTCCGATATCACCGAGTCTTAATTCAAAATATTTTCAAAGAAACTACTTTCTTCCGATATCACTGAGTCTTAATTCAAACGTATTTTGCTGATCCTCCGCTGTAAATGACAATAAAATGTTGGATTATTGTTTCGATTCGCGCTTCCAATTCCCGGATAACAGAAAGCGTCCCCAATTCATCCCGACTCCCCCAAAATTGAAAAGACTGTCGGAGCCATAATTAAAACAGCAGTGAATCAAAGCAATCGGGGAAAGATGTAGGACCCAAAATTGTGACAAGTAACGAACGCCAAAAATGCAAGAATTTGTAGTGTCTTACCTGCGGCAGCAGCAGTAAGTTGGGTTGTTGGTTGACTGGTTCTGCGATTGTCGTCACTCCTAGATGGTGGTCGTTCGTTTTGCAATTTGCACAGACGAACCGGTCTCCCCACTCATCTCTCCAGCTGCTTAAAGCTCGCTCCCCACCAATGACTTGTCGTTTTCTATTCCGCCTCCTCTTTTTAAGGGGGAAGCCATGGTTAATTATCAACTAGTCAAATGGTTAGACTGTTCTTATTAAAAAAATTGTGATTTATATATGATCTAACCAATTACAATAAAATAAATATATTTTTAATTTAATATTGATTATTTTTATGGAGTACTTTAATTGTATTTAAATAAAAATAGCACACGAAAGCAACCGATTTAAATAATGACATTGATATTCCATGGTTTTGGCACTAACATTGGAGGTAAAAACGAACCGAATGTCATTACAAAGGTATAAAATGTCTAGTAAAATGTCTATTATATCTATGTAAATTTTTTTGCCAGCTATATCTATATAATTATTACTTGATAATAAATAATTCTTATATTGTTAATCTTTACTTAGTGAGATGTGTATGTGTAGGAAAATGGACCAGTTCATTTTTAGTGGATTAGACCCTAACCCATTGATTTTTGGGATTTTGATGTGAATAGTAGAATTTGTGGGTCTCCAACTATAGTTTTTACTTTTTTTGTTTAAAAAAATAAAGGAGAGAGGAAACGGTTAGGAAATAACCGTGAGGAGAAAGTTATTTTTTTTGGATGAAGTTGAAAAACCAACGCATGGATCATTTGGCGATGACACTTCAGTTTTTCAGTCTCTTCCTCCACTCTCTGTTCTTTCCCTCCCTCCAATGTTTTTGCTGTGTAACACCGATCCGAGTTCATCATTGTGACCGGACCTCTACGTGTGGCTATCTAAGATTATTCGACACTTCAGGTATGTCCGAAACCCATTAATATGTATAATGATTGTTTAGTGTGACTCTTCTTTTCATTTTCATTATATTCACGAGCCAAACAAGTCCTGTTCAAATGAGCCAAAATTAATTTGGCAATCCTTGCAGTTTTATCAGATTTTGAATTAGGTTGTTCTAATTTTAATTCTTTTTATTAGATCTTTTTAGTTTCTTATCTTAAATTTATAACTCCTTTCAGTGATAAATCTCCAACCGCGTCCACTAAGATAGGCTTTTTTTTCCCGTCCCCGAAGCCGGGGCTCTCTCTCTCGGAACGGATTCTCCATAGATACACACTTTAAGTTTCGCTTTCTAGGAATGGATTCTTCATCTCCATCAGCTTGAACTCCCACCTCCCAAAGTGCACCATCAAGTCCTTATGCACTGATTCAAAATCATCCTGCTGCAACCCAAACACCAGAAACCAACCTTCATTATATTGCTCACAATACTAATATATATATATATATATATATATAAATAGTGAACATGAAGTGATTAAGAAACAAACCTCACGATTTGCCCGTCTCGCCTGTTAGCAAGAATTGGGTGCCCCTACATTATAAAACAATATGGGAAAATTTTTGGGGCCATCCACCAGTAAATTAGGCTAGGAGCATAGTGTGGAATCTTGAATTTCTATTGATCCATTTTGAGTTGCTTCTTGAACACCGTGTTCGCCAATTCTGAGTTAAAAGATGGCCAGTAGAAATTTATCACAGGAACCACCGGTTTTACTCTAATTAGCCTATCTCTAAAGATGAGAGAGGAAGAGCCCGACTTGAGGGGGAGAGAAAGCAAGCGTATCTCAATGAATTAACAGCGGTTGGAGATTTGTTAACAGGAGTTGGGAATAAAGCACAAAGATCCAATAAAAAGAAATAAAACTAGAGAGACCTCGTTCAAAATCTAATAAAATTATAAGTACTGCCAAATTAATTTTCCCTCAAATTATATACATACATACATCTGAGTATACAAGCATATATATACACACCTACCTGCCTACTTGCTATTTCCTCTCTTTAATATAGTGACAATTCAGGAACTAGGTGTGGTTCTAAATATAATATATTAATCCGTTTTATTTTCTAAATTTATTTTTTTTTAAAGTATCTCTATTAATTTTACATATTAAAAGGTTCCCACCAAAAAATAATTATAATGCATATTAAATATGATAGTTTAAGAAAACCAATAATTATAAATAAATAATTTAACTAATATTCTTAATATTCTTAAATTAATTATTTGGCTCTTTTTTCTTATATTAAGATCGAGAGATGATATATTATATAAAGTGTTAATAATTTAAAAAGGTAACGTATATATGTCAAAAGCATTAAATAGGAGAATAATAGTTTGAGACCAAAAGATGAATAAAAGTTTAATTTATGATCAAATGATTCTGAAATTAATATTTCAAAATTTAATACTAATATTTTAAAGTTGTTTTGCTCTCTTTCTTTCTTTTTTTAATAGTACTAAAAACAGTCACCTAAAGCCAAAAAGAACACTTTATAAAGTAATCGTGCAAGATATTTCAATTAACAATATATTCAAAAATTTGATTTTGAATAGAACCCAATAATATCATACAATCCATGTAGCCAACCCATCTAACATGATAAGGCTTATTGCTGCACTAAAAACAATAAAATAACCTAAACAAAAAAAATACCCTAATTTTCTTTATCAACCTCTCCCTTTAAAGTAAGGGTAGTTGATATAGAATTCAAAATTTACTCTCAAAAAATGGGAGAAGTTAGCTAAATGATTTGTAGTCGATAAAGTTGTTTTACCAACAAATTTTATTTTAGAATATCACTATATAAATTTCTAAATTTCTAAATATCGATAGATCTCTGGGAAGACGAAAGTGGACATTCTATCTTAATTGTACCGGGAAGCATTCCTCACTCTAAAACATCCGTCACATTAAACAGATCTCTTTGAAATTTTTGCAGTAGATATGATTTTAGCTAATCCCTGGAGTTAAGCAGCAGCTTCTACTCAAAAGACAAATTCTAGTGATCACGAGAGTTCTCAATCTTCATTGGTTTAGCTTCGTTTCTTATAAATCTAAAAATATAACACCACCTTCTAAAGCACATTCCTCGGTGTAAAACAAAATGAAAGTAGCTCAATGTAACACGGTCTCAAATACATGATCAGTTGCAACGATCGGTCAGAGGGGAGTCGTAGCAAACAGCTACCAAGATGCCACTTCAGTTGCTTTAACCCTTCAAGCCACTTGCTCGTATTAGGAGTTCAGTCACATGAATGTGCATCACATTGACCAGGAAGCTGACTTGGTTAGATCCATCCCCATGGCTCACAGCTCATCATGGCGTTGAGGCTGTTCCTTATTCATCAAGTCCAGCTTCTGTTGTAGCTCCTACAACATTTTCACATTATTTCAAGAATGTGAGAAAATTTAAAGCAAGATAATAAGTGGTAGGTACCGAGTAATTATCACACAATAGAAGAATTACCTTGAGCTTTTCCTCGCGGCAAAGGGCTGGGGTAGACAAGAATGCTACATACCTGCCGCGAAGGCCATGACAAACAAACAATAAGGAAATGAAACAGAGAAGATTGTATGAGGGGGAAGCAGAAAAATGAAAAAAAAAACAAAACAAAAAAAACAAAACAAAAAAATCTTTACTCGCAACGGCTTGGTTCATCTACATCAGTAATCTCATTTGTCAACCCGCATCTTAGCCTCACCTGCACAAAACACACCATTAATCATATAGGGGTTCCACAAATTTGATGCTTCCAAATTGCACAAGTCGCTTTCTTATATGTGGAAGCACTACTGAGACTTGCCCCACCCCAAACACAAGGTTCAGCATAATAACAACTTCAAAAATGCGCTCTCAAACCCAGGAGGTAGTACTTTATCTATTAAGATAGCCTCGTCAAATCAGTAACATTAATATTGTACTTGATCAAACAGAAGAGACAAAAAGAATTCTTGTAAACATTGTAATGAAAGAAAAAGAATTTTTAAATAAAAATTAAAAAATTTATCAGGTAACATGAGGTCTACACAAGTAAATACCTTCAGACTCCTATCAGGCCCATTCCAGCATTTGTCACCATTAGAAAAAACCATAACTCTGTATGAGTCCTCAAATTTGTCCCATCGTCTGTAAAAAGCAGATAGATCATTGATGTATTCACCATAGTCGTCAAATTGAGGTTCATATTAGGAAATATAATGCCTAATTCCGAATCATGAATCTACCATTCATAAGATACGGTAACAAATTGCTAATTCTCCTCTAAACTGTCCCCAACTGGGACAAGAAAATTCATATTCATGTCACCTATGAATAAGTAAGAGAAACTGTGATGTATTATCCTCAGTTTTGTTGGTACTGGGGCATGTATGAGCACCTTTTTGAACCTGGACAGAAATCTAGGCTAGATTGAGAGTGAAGAGGTGAATTTTCAGATTTGATACTATTTAATTCAAATATCTCCCTTGCTCTACCCGATATACGTCTCCTACTAATGCGTTGGCAATAAATATGAATTATTCTTTGTAACCAGCGAGTCACTCATGCTTATAAATAACCTTGCTCCATCCTCCTCCATTGTAACTCAAATTCAAATATAAATAAAAGTTTGCCCATGAATTTTTCCAAGTTTTTCTTCTCTTTTTTAGTAAGGTAAACTAGGTCATGATAGATACGATCTGATTGCTCGGCGGAGCAAAATTAAACATCACGTTATTTATCCAGAAACCACATCAATTCATGGTGAAATCTGGCCTAATGGTGACCACACCTCTGACAACTATCATTGGAATTTCTTTTTGTAGCAAATCTTACAATTCAAAGTGTGAACATTACATCTCAACTCTTGCTCTCCCTCCTTTGAAGTTGTAATCTTTTTGTCTCTTTTGGCCCCGCTGTACATAATGTTTGATTAATAGATCTTCTTCTATTCAAAAAAAAAAAAAAGTGTGAACAGTATAGTTCCAACTAACAACGACTGAAGCCTCTACCATTTAATAATTGCGTTCTCCTTAATGAGGGAAAAAGATAAGCAATTCAGTAAAAACGACTGATTCTTAATGACATGACAAACTAGTAAACTTCCTACCTTCCATACGAAAGAGTCCAAAGAAAAAGTATAACAAACAAGAAACAGCCCCCTCAATCAACTTAATGGAAACTGCTAGACTGCTAGTACAAAAGAAGAAACCTACAAGGTGAAAAAATATGCAGCAAGGTGTAATAAAAACCTACCCCAAGCGCGTGGTGCTATAGCCTTCCTCCTGAGAAGCCTCTTTATAGGGGCAAACTTTGTAAGTGTACCTAAACCAAAATTTTCATCACCCAAAAGTGAGAAAAAACTGAACTACCATAATTGCAGCAACACAAAATCACCGAATGCAGCAAAATCAGAAAATAAAGCAGTAGGGGACGGATAATGTAACTTGTTCTGCTTGCTCTCAAAACAACGATCATAGAATGAATAGAACTCCTTCTCTGGACCTGTAATACTCAACTTCAGTTTTCTCACACCAATCCAAACTAACTCATTACACTCTAATTCAAGTGCTACAACAATGACAAATGTTATCAGCTCCATACTGACCAAAATCATGCTTCAGCTTTTGCTTCAAACTTGATATTCTTGACTGTAGTTTAGATAATTTTGTACTTGACTCATCATACTCCTTGCGCACTCGAGCAGCATCTTAAGAAGACAATGACAATGGCGTAAGCTACACACACACACACACACAACGCATAGCAGAGCATTAATGCATACCTGACTGGTTCACGGGAGTCTGAAATAAATTAACAGCCTGAAAAATGTTTCGTACAGTCTTCTGTATTTTCTCTAACCAAGAAGGATTGTTTGCTGTAATGTCATCCAGAATTTAATAAAGTTATCTTATGACAAGTCCAGCTGTACAGCAACATTTACATAACAAATCTGAATCTTCCACTGATACAAACCTGACAAATCAGGACCAATATCATTGTCCGATTTGTAGGAGGAGCTAGGCTCATCATGCTCCTCATGAAAGTCTTCATCCATTTCATCTTCTGCATCAACATCATCATATTTGTGGCCGTCATCATCTGTTTCAGACACATAACCTTCATATTCCTCATGATTTGTCTCCTTTGGAAGATCTTCATTATCTTCATCAGCCATATTAATTGTTGTATCAGTTTCAGCACTTTGCCTAGCAGGATTCTCTCCTGTCCAACGAGAAGCAACAAGCCGACCCAACTCTTCCTTTGACAATCCCTCAGTGCTTTCAGGTACATTATTTCCCTACGGGTGTGGCGTGAAGGGAACAGTTGTGAACAGAGTGAAGCGCAAGCAAACATTTCAAGTGTAGGACAAATGCAAAGTTTAAGATATGCCAGAATTAAGAATCTTGCAAGGAAAATATATAGGACTTCAAGAAATTTTCCAGTTCATATAAGAAAAACAATCTCCTGAGAGATAGAAGAATATAAATTAAAATTGTTAAGGCTTCTACAATATAAGTGTGAAAACGTCAGTTCAAGATCAACCTAAATGGGGGTGGACAAATATATTTGCTCTGGCATGCACAATTTTCCTTGGTTAAAAATCTGTTTGCAATATGCCCAAAACTTTGTTATTGAGAAATTGTTGGCTACATCATGAGGTACATCGGCAAACCAAACATTATCTGATTGTTCATAATATTATTGCTAATGTCATCGTGTACAAGCTATTATGATGACGGCGATGGCTACACCTTTAAATACAAGGTAAGATGAAATGTACTCCGGCCAGTTGCCTTTAAGCACACCAAGTTTTCTAGCACAGTTCTTATTTCCATAAAATTGTGCAAATTAAATTTTCTAAACTGAACTCCAAACAGCAAACAGGAGCATTCCCCTAATTTATAGCTTTGCAATACAAATAGTTTCTGAATGTAACCGTGTGATCCTCATATAAAATTTCCATTCAATCACTCCCTTTCTCACAATTGCAGAGCCAACAACTTTCAAGAAAATTCGCCAGTTATTAACTCTTGGTATTATGAAACATCAGATAAATTTATTGGGTAAACACTGTCACAGAGTACTGTGACCAGCAGAATCAGAAACCTGTAAGATTGCCCAGCACCTCTAGAGTGCAAATGTTCAACATGGAGATATCATTTAGAATTATAAAAAGGTAAAGAACACCATCCGGAATAAGCTATTCTGATTCAAGCCATATCATATGACAGCATGCAGCTCCAAATATAACTAATAAAATTTCATCCATGCCTATGAGCTGGTTAATAAATTATTTCAACAAAAGTTCAATACCAAGATAAGGGAAGAGATCCTCACAATTTAACATGAATCATTAAACAACTAATATCACATTAGAACCGGTTCTTTCATCTTTTTTTATACTTGTTAAGAAAGAAGAGTACAAGGGCAAAAAGATAAGATTTTAACGACAATTAAAAGGAGTTTTATAGAACAACGCACCAAAACCAACAAACTTTATTGCTTCATCTTTATATAAAAACATCAGAAGACGAGGCACACAGATGAATAAGGTTCAAGGCTGATGAAGCAATATTGATAAGTATGATATGCTCTATGCAGTATCTAAGTCAGTTGGTTCTCCTACACTGGAGAGGGTTCCCCACCCCACTCGAGTGCCAAACAACTAATATCACAGTTGGTGGTCAGTTGGCAGCTACAAATGAGCTATAAGCAAATGGATCTAACCAACAAGAATACACAGTGTCACAAAGTGAAATCCCTGAGCAACTAATTTGCCGAGAGATGAATTATTAATCAAATTCTGGTGGTTGGATGTGTTGATGCAGATTGAGTAGGGACCCCAACCAATCATCAATCCACTAGTGGTTGCAACATATCTCATGAAGGAGATTGTCTCTCAGAAAAGCAAGAAACAAGGTGTGACAAGATCTAGCACTGAAACTGAATAACATGCCATGAAACCAGCAACACGTGAGCTGATGTAGATAAAACAATCACCACAAGAACTTCCTTTCGGAAATCTTGACCAAATGACACTAAAGAGTGATAAACTACTCTACGCACAGCTTCTAATCCAGTCTTAATTCAAATGACCGTACACATTGAAATTGATTGCCATTTCATCAGAGAAAAGATCTCATGTATAACTACTTCCGCTAGCCACACTAACTCCAAAACTTTTACAAAAACATTCAGAAGACCCTGCATTTACTGCGTTTCCAACAAACTTGGCGCAGATTCCATACATTTTATATCGTATATTGATGATGATATACTGATCACAATTGTTTTTAAATTGTCATAAATTTTATTATATATTAATTTAAACCATTTAAATTAATGCTTAATATATTTAATTTTAAGTTTCAAACCCCATAGAAAAAATTTTGGTTCCATGTCTACATGTCAGGACGTGCCACTTCAGTTACAATGAATTTAGAAGAAAAATCAAAATACGCAAAATTTTGGCTCACCTCTTCCACTCCTACATGTGAAGATCCTTCACTTTCAGGACTATTTGTGGCTCCATTATCATTGTCAAGTACGTCCGCCAACTTTTGATCCTCTTCTGCATCCTACATAAATGGAAATGAAAGAAAAGTTAATAAATGAATGAAGTGGTAAAAGAGTTGAATCAAGGAAAAAATCAGAAACCATATTGAAGGGAAAAAAGGAAGTATCACAGTCAGATGGTTGGAAAATGATCCTTATTAATTTTCAAAAACACTTTGGACAAATTAAGAGGTTCATGAAAGATCACAGTGATCTATACGCATAGTACATCCTCTTGTTGAAAGTTGAAACACTAATTACTAAATTAATCATCAGTAAAATGTATTTCTTCAGAATACCAGATTCCGCAACGGGCCGGGTGGGGGGGCGGGGTCAACCTGATGTATAGGAGCATCATTGACAGAGCCACTTCTATCATGGTTACTAGCCACATCATTGTCTTTGTCATCAGATTGCTCCAGAGCTTCATTTCTATGCTGTGCGTCTTCTTCATCCAGTTTAGGGTTCACTTCATCAGCTTTCCTCTCAGCCTCCTTTTTCAGCATCTCTTCTTTTTCCTTCCTCAATCTTTCCTTCTCCTCTGCCTTCTCTATCTGTTCTTTATGCTCTGCAAAGTAGATGTAAGGGGCAGTATACTTAATTTTACCAAAGAACCATCTTACATAAAGACATTAAAATATGCTAACATTTTATCATGAATGGAAGAACAAACAGGTCCTGCGCCTCCCATTCTAACATTCTTTTTCATGAATTAGCTCACTAAATAATATTTAAATTCCTGGTATAGGAAAGTTTAATTAAAAGGCAACAAAAAAAACGCTCCTCACACAATGGACAAAAATTTCATGTGAAATACTCCGAATTTCCTCAAAACCATCACGCTACAACCCTAGAAGTTGTGAACATAGTACACTTCCACAAACCCTTATACAACTTTCCGGCATGAGCAAAAGGGGAGTAACCAACTTTAGGCTGGTTACTTAGAGAGAAGGGGAGTTAGGCTAGTTGGGAACAGATGATGGCCCTAGTTCACCTCTTATACAATTTTAATTCATTGATGAATAAAGTTCACTATTTATTTTTCCCTTATCAAACCAGCAGCAAAGCCATTCTCCAACTTGATGGCACCAAAGATGAAATCACAAGAGAGGTTTATATACCTCAAGCAGCATATAGAGAATCAAGCAGCATTAGTCAAGAGCAGTCAAACTTGTTTTAAGACATAAAAATTATATCATAAAAAGCATTAACAGCAACAGGAGGGGACAGGGAAAAAATACCCTTCAGCTGTTGCACAATCCCTTTGAGCATACTTTCTTCTTTTCTTAACTTTGAAAGTTCTGCCTCGTCTCTTGATAGAGCTACTTGTGCTTGTTCAACTTCTTGCTTTCGCAAGAAGATACCTTCCTGATATGTGACAATCTTTTTGTTTAGTTTATCACGAGTAACTTTCCCAGCCTCCCAGCAATTATTTGGGCATTTCACTTCGCTGTCATATTCGTCACTTCCATCACAGCAATCTACAAATTGTAACAAGCAGATCAAATCACTATGCAATTAGTAATATCTAGCCAGCAAAAGCATTCAGAATATAAAATAGTGTAATTTATCAGATAAAAATTCATATACACATAATCAGTATTTTGATATCCTGCTAATTCTAAGCAAGTAACCACTCATGACATCAATTGAGTTTGGACATTTTTCTCACTGATCTTTGTCTTTCTTATTCTTATGTTATGGTTTGTGGGCTTTTGTGCATGCCATTACAGCTTAGTTAAACAATCAAAATATTGGTTTGCATGAAATTTCAGATTCCACATAGCCAAGCCAGAATAAAATATAGAAAAGGAATCATGTCTACAAACTTCAGGAGGGTTCATCTTGCTCAACAGCCCAACTGACCAATTAGTATCAGGCCTAATTTGGGGGGAAGTGAATTGCAGCTAACTAAGCCAGGTCAAGCCAAGCCAAGCACAAGGCTGGCCGTCCAGCCAATTTGGCCCCGACCAGCCCAATATATGAGGGATCAAAATGAAATAACATTTTGAGGCCATTTTGCTAGAAAACATATATTTTTTAAGATTAAATAAAAAGGTGAACATGCATTACTGGGACAAACTAGATAAGTCCCCATACATTGCTCAAAATTAGAGAAATGAATCACATTGTTCACAGCATATGAAAAGTGTGCCTTACTACAGATTTTATATTTCGTATTGATATTGATAAACCAATTAAATTAATTCAACTACATGCATTGGTCTAGCTTTGAAAAAAGAAAGAAAAAAAAAGAAAAAAAAAAGCAGAAAAAAAATCGAAATGAAAAGAAAACCTACTCAGTCAAACCACCAAACTTGGTGTTATCACATTTTGAAATTCTACTCTCTATGACTGTTTTCCTCTTGTTTCCTCTTCCAAACTCACCTTTTTTCCATTTCTATCATATAGATCTTAAAGGGTGGGAGGACAAACCAAAATGAGTGATCATATACCCAATTGATCATTTGGATAAACAATGAGGTGTCAAAAGTTTCACAGTTTAAAATGTTGGAGAAAAACCTTGATAAAAGTCCCTTGTCTATAAATGATAAGAGAGATGACGGGCATGCAAACTTGTGGCAATTCTAATCAAATAGCTCAGCCCATTTTTGTGAAATGAATAAGACCAATTACAAACACATGCAAGAAGTTCACCTGGTATTAAAGCAAGGGGAAAAAAAGGCTAAATTGCTGCAAAATCTAGGACTCATGAAGAAATGCTGGACTTGAGGCCAATAAGGTTCAAAAGTCAGCCTGGGCAATGAAAAGAGATGCAGCTTGTTACCCATGACCTTTGAGTCTCAAAGAACACAAGCCCGTGGAAATAATTGGAAATTATAAACCTTTTTTTCACAGGGGGATAGTTGAGCCAATGCCACATGCATTTGTGGGGGTTGCTGGAGATAAACCTTGATAAAAGTCCCACATCTAAAAATGGTAAGAATAATGAAGGACATATAAGCTTGTGGCAATCCTAACCAAGTAGTTAAAGCCACTTCAATGAAATTCATAAGCCAATGTACCAGGCTATGCGCAAAGTTAACAAAAGAAAAGAGAATGGACCAGATTTGGCTTGGGACCAAGTTCCAAAGATGGGGCAAGGCTTCACCCATAAACACCCTTGGTTCATTAAGACAAAACACAGACTCTTCAATGTTTCAATCAAAGTTTCAGATTAATAAAAATTATTAACATTAAGAACCCAAATTCCCAAAATTCAGTGCGTTGTATGGAAAAATACACTGTGATGAAAACAAATAGTTGGTATTTATCCAGACAAACATCACTCTCCACATTAAAGAATGGATTTAGAGAGAGCTTTTTTTGCCAAAAGAGCTTAAAAGTCCACGATATAACAAGGACAATTGTTTATTCATCTGAAGAAGGGCAATTACTCTCACATTTCTCAATAATAGCATGTTCAAGACAAGTATCTTAAGGTTTTTGGATAGTTTAATTAAGCATGTCTAGAAAATTTGCACATATTCTCTCTATTCATCCAAAGCTAAAAGTAATCCCAAAAGATTGCCTACAGAAAAAACTAATAACAACGAGTTTACCAAAAACTCATCATATAATGCATGGTAATTCTACTTACCACATATTCCATCATTCACTCTAGATGAATATAGGAACCCGGAAACATGTCCTGCATTCTGACAAAAAAATTTTCCGCTTGGACATGCTGAAGTACCTGCATATTACATTTAAAAAAAGAATGAGAAAAATAAATATTGCAGAAGAACATAAGCTTGATTTAAATGTGAAGACCAGAAGAAACGGCGTTGGAGTTATGGCTGATCTCATGAACAGCCGTGATCCAACGTTTTAATAGGTGAACAGACGAGCTAACAAGAATCAGGCCAAAAAATAATAATAATAATAGAAGAACAGATGATAAAGCAGGGACCTGGCTCATCGGTGCCATCGGGGCAGTCACAGAAGTCGTCATTGAGCTGAGCTTTGGTGAATTCCTTGGATCCGTCTTTACATAGTATTACAGCGGACGACTTGTAATACTCAAGATCTACGTATTCAAACATGATTTGAGAAAGACGCCCATTTAGATACAATATCAAGAGCTCAAGATGAAATGCGTAAATGAGGTCGAGGTGAACCTTCAGGAGCAACTCCAAGGTATGGGTCTTTGGGTTTTGCAGAATAAACTGATTTAGCTATCAACCCACAAAATACAAAGGAAATGAGGACAAATCCCAGCTTCATCTTCCGCCAAACACAAGGAGGTGAATTTCTTTCTCGGCGTAGTTGGACCCGTCAATCCTGCGTCGACTGTTTTGAGTGTTTTCAACTTTTCAACACATCCGCGCAATTAGGCCGAGAGAAAGCCAGCAACCTCCTTTGCCTGGTTATTCCCGGACCTCACAGTGTGCGGCTATGCGCTCCCTGTTTTTTCCGTCTTCTTTAATATACATAACATGCACGGTTTTTAAATTTTAATCAATAATATTAATATTTATTATTCACTACTAATATTTATATTTACCAGAGGCGACCATTCCTAAACTTTGGGATGTTACAAAATGACCCATAAAAAATCGGGAATTTGCAAAAGCCAAAAAAAAAAAAACCTGAATACTGCTGATTCTTATAAGGAAACACCTCCGTTTATAATTTTTTATTTCAAAGTAAAGTGAATTGAAAATTTGTTATTACTATTTGAAATTTAAGTGTTGAGTATAAGACATAACTTTTTTTTATTTTTTTTCAACTGGCAAGTTCAAATTCAAATCACAATAATTTCTATTCCGCAATTGATAAATTAATAAAATGCATTGAAATTTTATTATTACCATGTAAAGTTTAAGAATTGAGCATTTTCTTAATAGATGACTTTTTCCTAATTTACATGACAAGAATTTGTGTTAAAAAACTTACAAGTACATGTATGTATGTATTTTAACAACTAACCATACCAAAATTAAAAAAAAAAAATACAACTCCCAATTTACATGTTTAGAAGTTCAGTTTGAATATTTACAAGCATACATGTATATTTTAACAACTAACAATAATAAAATAACAAGTCAGAATTTATAATTCCCAATTTATATGCTAACAAATTCTGCTCAAACATTTACAAGGGCCCATACATATTTTAATAAGTAATAGTAACAAGTAAAAATTTACAAGTCTACATGTACGTTTTAACAAAATTCAAGTGAAAATTTACAACTCCTAATTTACAAGCTGACAACTTATACATATAATAAATTTACATATTAACAAAGTCTCTTCAAAAATTTAGACTTGCACAATACGCATTTAGTTTACCGCATGAATATGCTTTTGCCCTATATGACTTAGTTTCAAAGCGCCCTTGACTATTTCATTTCCAAAATGTTCCAGGTGGCTGGTGACGGAACTCCGGCTGCGGTTGATTTTCAAAAAAATAAAAAAGCATTAGCCATTTCATACCAAAATATAATTTCATTTTTATTCCCAAACACTAAACTAAAACTTCAGAATCTTTCACAAACTATTGAAAATTATGTTTTGTGAGACTTCCCTGAAATTTTCCCTTCTTCTTTGGGTGAAAATGGAAAATGGAACATCAATTTATTTTTTTGATGAACCCGGAAGAAAGTTAATAATGTTTATTGCATATGACCGTGGCCGAAAAAATTCAAATTTGAGATTGGAACTAACTAATATTATACAAATCTCTATCCAAACCACAGTCAGTGGCTTCCATCATATAAATCAAACTTACATAAGCGGCATATGAATGATAAAAACTACGATCTACTGACCCATGAATTGGAAAACAAATTAATTATCCGTCAAATAAAAGAAAGAAAAGCAGCAGCAGCAGCTAAATTCAATATAGATAGATTAAAACATCATAATCTTGTATTATCTTTCGCGTTTCAAAATGCATCTTTTCGTCCTTCTATTTTTGTTACTTTGAGAACCAATAAACAATGAGAAACAACGTACAGCCAGCAATCACCGCTGCCAATATAAGAGTGTCCCTCGAGCGTCTTCTTTGTATTGAACCTTAAAGAGCAGAGGAATTAGATTAACAAAATAACAACCGAAAAGAGAGAGTAACAGAACATCAAAAGCAAAGTCAAAAGACACACTGCTTCAGAACATACCAAGCAAGCTTCGAATCATAGGGAACTTATCGCCAAGAAGCTTCACTTTTCCTTGAACATCACCAAACAAAGCCCTTTGAGACCCCAAAACAGCTCTCGTTGCTTGAGCTTGACTAATCACGTCATCAATCTGGGAAGCAGCAAGAATACTAAGGTATGCATCTTCAAAGGAAATACAGAGATTAAAAAAACAAGTTACAAAACAGCTTATATCAAATAAGTTAGTATAAGGCAATCGTCATCTAAGGGTGGTGTAAGCAGTCATATCTGAATTTCAATCAACAACATATCCTTCAAGAATGCTCCAAGTGAAGATATGACCAGCATAACGAACGCAATTATGAAAGCACTATGAATTTACACTCTGTGGAGTAGTATTTTCAGTTGAATAATACTACTTTCCGGAGTTGTTTCCAACAACGATATCAGAGCCAGTCTTTCTTGGGAATGGAGAACCGATACAATGTGTTTGAATCCCGTATGCTGTAGACTGAGCAGAACGTTGAACACTAACCTAGATTCCATACGTTTGATGGAAACAGCTTCAGCTACTCCACAGATTTGAAGTCATATGGAGGTATACACTAAGCAAAGAAAACAAATCCTCACTGCGCATTCGAGAGCCACGGGTACTCTTCTATCAACACTCAATATCTTCCACGCCCCTTCTCTCACCAGCTCTCACATAATATATCCGCTCTATTCTAACTGTCAAACGAAAGATGCCAAAAACACCCCTCCCCATGTGTTTAGAACCTATATTCTAACATCGGGCTTTAAGCCCCTGTCCAACAGAAACCAAGTAAAATTATGTTAGAATTCCTACACAAAAAGCATATCAAAGAAGGGTGTTGAAACTCGGAATCTTATTTCTTATTCTGTAAAAGTACAGGTTACAAAAATCTATAGAAGTTTACAGAAATAGAAGGCCCACTAAGTCTGGTAGAATAAAAGCATTTAAACTGAATTACTCTAATCGGATGAAATCTGGGATATATAAGCAGAAAGTAGACTAGGCTAAAACTAATAACTACAGCTACTTAGGCATAGAAGGAAGGCCCAACACAGTGTCACAGGGGTAAGACGGGAATTAACAAGATGGTTATGACAGAATTTGGGGTAAAGGGGGTACTGCTAAATCTATGATCTACACTTGTCACAAGGAGCGGTGGCCAATAACTAGATGATTACAGTGTAAATAAAAGGGGTCGCTAGTGTGAATGTCTAGTGAAGGTCCAAAAGGAATGCTGCCAAAGTTGAATTGCCAGGTCTAGGTTTCTTTGTCCCTGCTTCCTATTTTTTCTAGTTTGTGCCACTCATTTCTGGGTGGTCTGTTGCTGCATTTCTGGTTTCCTATCAACATAATACATCAATATGCAAACAGCTCCTGTAGATCACAGCAATTTAGCGTTATGCTATCAAATTGAGTTTTGAGTCTACAAGAACACTTTCCCTTAGAATCTTCTTCACCTTCAGTCAGACTTGAAGCACAATGAGAAGAATGGGTACAAGCAGCATCGCTAGAATCTTCCGATTTACAGCATACATTTCAATCAATATGAACAACCAAGAACCAACTATAAACAATTCTGGTCTCACATGTTAAGAATCAATGAACTGTCTAACAATAGAATATATACTTACATGAGATATACTTCCATGGATTGCAGATCTCTCCCGTAACAACTGCATCCTTGGTGACATACTTCCTGATGCCTGCCAGAGGAAGGAAAATCTAATACAGATAGGAAAAAAATCAATCATATAATTTGATTTATATGATGCCCATTGCCCACCTTAAAATCACTAATGTCATCCCTAACTGAACTCAAAAGCTCCGCATGTTCTCTCATTGAGTTTATGTTCCCCTTAATACGTCTAAATTCCTGAAAAGAATAACAACATTCAACATGGCAAAAACATTAAGTCGGCTCTGTAGTATAAATGAGAAGCATGAGATAAGCCTACAACATTCAACATATGCTTGCTTCGTAGGAGGAAAATGAAATAGAATAAAATGAATGTACCAATTTTTCATCTCATCATGGGCATATTGATTACTCTCATTAATAAGACAAGAGTAGTTTAATAATGGAACCAACAAATTTGTGTTTATTCTTAGGGAAAATGGAAGTTTAAAGGAGAACGAGTTTATGCATAGTCGTACATAAACTAAAAGAGAATGTTAAGAGGTCACTTTTCTTCCACATCATGTTTTTTTACCCAATTTGACTCTTTCCAAGTACATTATTTTCCATAGTAGTCAATTCCTTCCCTCTTGCACTGATGCTAACGTGATAGAATAGATTAAATAAAATTTTATACATACAAGTTGAAATGACATAATGCTGAGTGCGACATGGAATTGTTGCAAATCGTTTGCACTGAACTTTAAAGTAGTAATATGGTGACTAATGACAAGTGACATTTCATTGAGAGCTTTTTTTTTTTTTTTGGGGGGGGGGGGGAGTTATCAAGTAGTGATAAATTCAGTGCTTATATACCCCAAATAATATGAAGGAAGAGCTCATTAAGTATTAACATGAGCACTTCCATTAGCTGCTCCAAAATTTGCTTTAACTTTCAGATCTGATTGGCCCAAAACTTTTTTTTTTTTTTTTTGAAGAAGAAGAGACACACTTGAATCTTGAATGAAAAATAACAGCTCATATGCCAAGATTCATGATCACATATGGCATGACAATCTTAATTTAATCCAAGCACCACTTGTTAGAAGCAAGAAAAATGTACATTTTCCTATAAGTCTGCAAATACCGTCAAGTAAGACTTACGAAACTTTTATCAAATAAACAAAGAACATAAAAGTAAAATGAAAATTATGGATTTCTCTACCAATTAATACTCTAATAGTTTCCCTATGCAAGTGGAAAACGTGAACTAATTGTTTTACTGATCAAAAGCTGAAACTATATCATAAAACAACCAAAAGTAGCGACACATGAATGAAATGATGCTTGACAGAGTGGAGGAGGAAGACCAGGAAGAAAACTCAAAGAAGTTTTCAAACAGGACCCTTCAGTTAATGGTAAATATAAATAGTGGTTTGTTGATACAACACATTGGCATGGTGTGATTATGTATCCAACCACCCCTGATGGAATAAGGGGTATGTTGTTGTTACCTTACACAAATCATACCTGGGTGAACTCATGAAGAATGTCTCTATGCCTAGCTAGTTTCTGGGTTACAGAAGTAGCTGATGCAGCAGATGCAGCACATCTACTCATCGAATCATTTATGTCCAGTAGTTTCTCAAGCAAGGATTGAATTTCCATCTCCATTGACTTCCATGATCTACTAGATCCAAGAGGTGGTGACCCACCTTCCACATAACCTGAAGGAAAAAGTTAGATTAATACACATATATACGACTGTGGCAGAGCTAGAAAATTAAACATCACATTCCAAGGGCCAGAAAATGGTTGAAACCACTCAATTACATACGAATAAACAATAAGCAGTTGAGGACTGACTACAAGCTATATGAAATAATGAAAATAAAAACTCCACTAAAAGTAATAAAAAGCATGATATATAATGCATTTTAGGATATTATAGTCTTCCGTAACTGTATACAATTACTAATCCCAAAGAGCTGTTTAAGCAGCCAACTTGCGAGGCCTGAATATGCTGGAATTCGGTTAAGAATAAATGGTTTATGCTTTCTGGAAGTAACTATATTATCAGGGTTTTCCTTGCAAGGAGACAGCGGTACCAACAGCCAAAAGCCACTATAACCAAAAGAAAAAGATAACGTATAGGAACTGATTAAGAAAGAGAAAATGGCATAAGAAATGACACCTATAGGATAGAAGAGAAGAGATGTAAAATGTGCTCAGAAAAGAAGAGTGCATAACCACTAATGTCTCTACTCTGTTGTAAAGTGACTGTTGTGACATACATTCTGAAAATGGACCGCCAAGACAGAGAAAGAAACAACCAACCAGCTTATAGCTTACAAAGCGAGAGAAAAGGAAACATAACCCCCAGGCCTCACCCAGAGCACGGGTGAAAAATATTGCAGGTATCTTTATCGTTGATATTCATCTTAAGAGAGAAAACCCAATTTTTAAGGCATCAAGCTTCTCCAGAGGAAAATTAGCACTTTCAGTCTACTGTTTTTAGATCTTCTTAACTTGTTAAATAGACCGTTTTCAGCTTACAAACAGGGGTCACACCAAACAACAGAAACTTATCCTGATTTTATTTCTCCTCTAACTTATCTATCCATAAGTTGCATTTGAATGCCAGTTTTCCACCCTATAGCGGCGATCAATAATCATAAAACCTAAGAAGAGACATAGCGAACAAGAAGTACGTTCAATAAATGATCCTAAAAATAAGAGATCCGACCAAAATCATCCGAAGAGTAATAAATGTCTTGCTTTGAATTAAATCTGCTAAGCTGCTTTCATTTTTAAAAAATAAATAAATAAATCTGCTAAGCTGCTTAGCAACCACAAGAATCAGGCAAACGAAATATGAAGAGCAAGTGGACATTTCATTCCCTTCGTAGTGAAAAAAGCCAAGAAGAAGAACGAAATATACAGTATGCCTCGTCAAAATTGGGGTAAACCCCTTCTCTCCAATGCAGACAAATCGTGATTGCAATTCTCAGAGGCGTTCAAGAAAATAAATGGCAATTTGGGGAATCCAATTCAAACCCCCTATATCATACTGCTAGAGTCAACATTCATCCACAGGTGAAGCAGCAAAGCAAGAGTTGAAGAATTGAGTAAGCAGCACATGAAGATAACAAACCTCCTTGTGTGAACCTAGCGCCTAGCTTAGCATAAGAAGACAGCTTGACGTCAAGATCACCCTCGATCTTCCGCGCTTCCTTTCTCAGTTCCTCCCAACCAGATTCTTGCAACTCCATGATCTGATTCGACAAACGGATCTTCTAAAAAACCAAATCCAGATCCTCCGACTTCTCCTTCTTCCGTTATCTTCCGATCACACCTCGTCGAATCGTTTATTACAGTTAAAATTCTGGTGCACTCGCATCAGTTCTCAGGCTTCGCTTGCTCCCTCACATCTCACAATTTCACAAACAGTCAGAGTGGGGCGAGGAGAAGGATCGCCTGCAGATAACCCACCGTAACTAGACCTACAACCTGATATGATATCTTTCGATCTTCATGTGCCCCAGCCCCCCCGGGGTCAGGGGAAGGAGAAGGATCGCCTGCAGAGAGCCCACCGTAACTAGACCTCCGACCTGATATGATATCTTTCGATCCTGATGTGTTTTTTTTTTCCCTGAGAAAATTATAACGAGATCCTAAATAAAAAAATAATTGAAAAATAAATTTCAGACATTATCTCACTGTAAAATTTGTTGTATAGACTGTTGAAATTATTATTAGAAATTTTTAGTAATTATTTTTTTTGTAAGACTTTGACTGTAATTTTCTTTTTTTTTCTCCTAATGTTTTGATGACATCTTGATGTGTGGTTGATTGTTTCCTGTCCAAGAGAGATCAAGGCCACAGACCCCACGTTCACCGGGCCTTCACATGTTGGCAGGCTAAAGACAACGTTATACTCTCGGATAAAATATGCATATATATGGTTAGATTTCTTAAATTCTATGTAACATTAATTAGTCTTCTGGCAAAAAAAAATTAATAAGTCTTGAGAAAATTAATATTTATAACTTTGACTGATGAATGATACAGTAAATATAAAAGTTTAATTCATACAGTAAATATAAAAGTTTAATTTATAAACATTATAAAATTTAATTTGTATGTAACAGAGCTCAACTTGCAGTTATTAAATCTTTTAAAACATTTTAGTATAAAAATAAAACTCAAAAAACGTTTTTATGTTATAAATATTACAATATTAAGTGTGGATGTCCATAACTTTCTAAGAGTTATCTTTTGAGATTCCACACTTAAAAGCCTATAACCTACAACATAAATGGCTTCTTGGGAGTTTTCTATAATTTATACTCATAATCTCCAAATGTTATATATCCTACAATTATGTAGAGTTATTCCTTGTTATAACTCTTAAAAAGAATTTAAGGACTTGTGGCTTATAAATAGTGAGTATGTACCAAGTGGGTGTAAGCTTGAAATAAATAAAAGATTACATCATATTCCTCCTCCAATTGTGTCTTATATATCTTCTCCGTCTCTCTCATCTCAATCCCTTTTTTTTTTTTTACGACACTTTGTACTTAATTTTCTTTAAAATGTATTGCGGCGGTTGCTTTTGTGATTGGAAAATCCAGATAGGATTTGAGCAACGGGAATTTCTCACATATATCCTTGTTATTAATAGTAATTATTAAATTAAAATCATATTTAAATAAGAATTGTATTAACTTATATTTCTCCCATCTACTCTTTGTTGCTTTTTTTTTTTGTAATTATATGTCTATAGGTAATTTTAATTTAATAAATAAAAAATTTTATTCAAACAAAAATCATAATTTATGGCCTTTGAAGCTGGCATCCAAAAAAATCTATAAAAAGCATGATTATCTAAAATTATAATTATTTATTTCTATTTCGAATGGGCACTTAGTGAGAGGAAATGACGCGAAATGTATTTGCGCCATGCGGGGAGCAAGCCCGCCTTCGTTTTCTCTCTTTGCTTCTTCGTCAACTTTCTCGTTTCAAATTAGAGGCTAAAGTGCAAAGGTGCTCTTTCCTTATCATTTCATGTAACTTCAGACCAATTAATTAATTATCTTTCTCTGGAACTCTATATTAAATTTCTTTATCGCTCCTATCCAACCAAGTTCAAACATAAAATACAATCACAATAATAAAACATAAAGAAACACAATAATTTTCATGGTAAGAAAAAATAGTAATTTTTATACTCCAATAAGATTCTTGTCTTGTACAGATTACATTCACCGTGGTTCTGTTAAAAACAAAAAACAAAAAAAATTACTTTCACTGCTATTCTGAAATCCTCTTCATGACGGTATCCAAGGGCAATAAATACATCTAATTGAACGAATCACTTCTGCTGTGAGATGTCTCAGCTAATTGTGTTTGCTCCAGATCCTTTACAAATGTCCGCAGACATCCATTAATGATACGAGGGGCTGCTCCATCACAAAACCGTTTAGCGAGATCCACCGCCTTCAAAACAACCATACATCAGAAAGACCAAGCCATGACAATGAGATTTTAGCTTCACAAAATGATAGACTCTTTTAAAATTCATATCCAAAGGAATAAATTTGAATAAAAAATTGAGAAAATGACTGAAAAATACTTGCTGAATTTTAAAACGACACATGTTATACTAACTATTCTTGTAATGGTTTTAACTTATGAAGATAAGAAATGATGCTCCCATTCTTATTTTTAAAAAAATAATGAAAAGTGGTAAAATTAATTAGAGGGATGATTCCAAAGATATAATAACGGCGCCATTGCAAATAAAAGAAGGAAGTCTCTTTCCTATAAGAATAGGAACAGGGCTGAGTTGTGATATCCGGAAAACAGATAACAACGATGCTCTGTTGACTAACACAAGCATAATACAGAAAACTTTTAGAAGAGTGCCATGAACCTGAACCACCCAATCCCGGAATTGAGGACCTATTGCCCCATTTAGTACACGGCAATGAAGAGAAAGGAAGTGGAAACGGAACATGAATCAACGCTTTCCTACGTTTGGTATATGTGAGGCCCCCTTCGTAGGAAGCCAACTTTCATCAAAATCGATGGAGGTGGCTTCCTTAGCAAGATCCATGGAATTGGTTGAGAAGGACCATTGCACCCTTTGTTGATATTGAGTGGTTCGACAGCATGATGTAAGTGAATGATGGCAACAGCAACCTCCTCCAAAGATGGCAATAGCTTCCCCTTTATCAGTGGCAGCAGAGTCCCTTTCCTCTAGATTGTGGTGATTTGTTTTTTGGATGGATCTTCATGGCGGTGATCATTCTATTTTCTAAACAGCATCAAAGAAGGTCGTTCAGTGAAAAGGCTGGCAACCAAGAAAGTGGTTCATCAAAGAAGATCAAGGCAAAGTTTTGTAATTGCCCACATCGGCAGTTCATAAGTTGGCAGGTTCTCATTTCCTTTTGTATTTGCAATTCTGTTCAGTATGTTAGATTTGCATGACCCATGCACGTGATGATGGCTATATGATGACAAAATCTCCCTCTCCACTAAGTCTCTTCTAGATCTTTCTGCTCTTTCTCTATTCTCTCTGCCCCACTTTTTGTCTGTTTTCTCTATCACTTCAGAGTATGTTGACATCGGTATCAGCACAAATATTTCCTCTGACTGATGGTACACACTCGTAAGCAGCTCTGAAGGAAGTGGAGGATCATCTACGATCAGATATGGATTTTAAGTTCAATCAATTGGAAGCACAGCTTGAAGGGTTTCGAGAAATGCGGATCTAAATGGTTGGACAGCAGGACATGATGCGTAGATGTCCATCCACATGATGGATCTACATATGCCTCGAGATTGTGGATGTAACCAACATGATGATAATTGCCATATTCCAGCTCACGACACCAAGTTAGACTTTTTGATGTTCTCATCTATGGACGTCAACACCTGGCTCGCTAAATGTGAGTGCTACTTCATGTTGGCTATGAAACCTGAGAATTGGAAAGCTCTGTTGGCAAGCATTGTGTTGGATGACACTGCCTACAATTGGTTTCAGCATTTCAAAAATAGTCTAAATGGAGTGGTTTCCTGGGTGACATTCACTGAGGCCATCCGAGTTTGTTATGAGCCTCTGAACGAAGATCCAAAAGAGATCTAGGAGAGAGATAAAAGATGAGAGGAAGAAAATATGCCTCATATATACTATTTTCTCCCAATCAGTAAAATTTTGTCATCATATAGCCATCATCGAGTGCATGGCTCATGCAAAGCTAACAAACTGAACGGGATTACAAATACGAAAGAAAATAAAAACGTGCCAACTTATGAAATGCCACATGCCAGAAATTACAACATTAGAACCCTATCATCTTCTTTGATCTTTGCCCCTTTCACTTCCTACAATGGCTCGGATGATGAAGAGGCAATGGCAAGATTGTATGTGATTTTATTTTTCTGGATTGATTGTTGATTGGGTCTTTGATTTCCTTCCATTTCATTGATTTTTTTTTCCCTTCGATTTTCCGTGTTTCCGAGCTCTGGTGAGGGCTAGTTTTTTTTTTTTTTTTTTAAAACAAGGCATTGTTTCTTCTAGATCCGCCGGTCGCTGGGGGTTTCTAATCTGATGGCTGCAGATGGCTTCTAATGGTTGCTGGCTTCTGCTCTAATGGTTGCCAGTGGTTGTGTCTTGCATGCAGACAGTTGAAGCTATTTTTTTTCCTCTAATTAGGCAAGGGTATCTTGATAATTTACTATTATAAAAACACAACAAATAAAAATTATATCAGGCTTCTATGTATATATCAAACATGTTTTCAAACCTTACTTCCACCCTAATTCCATTTTCATCTCCTTCAAAAGCTCTTCCAGCATACTAAATGAGGCGTATGCCGTAAGCTCCATCAGAGTCCAGAAGAGAATTTTAGACATAATCAGAGAGAAAGTTGCAAAAGCCTGATTGAATGAAGCATGCCATCAAACCCACTCCTAGTCCAAAGAGTGGAGGAGGATATAGCCAAATTAAATGAGCCCATGGCGGTAAGGAAAGGAGTAAGATCTTGCACTCTTCATCCCATTGGGAATTTAGGATCTTCTGATAAATTCTCTGATGGAATTTCAAACGAGAAAGCTCCTAAAAACATTGATGAAGTTCTAGCACAGCCAGAACGGAGAGAAATGGCTAAAAGAATAATGAAACCTGGCCAATTGTTAACCTTCCTGAACGGAAGAAGCCTAGAGGGCGGATTGTCAAGAAACTTTGGCTCCAGCAAAGTTTAACATGATTACAGTTTTGTCATAAGTTACCAAAAATCTAATCGCACTTGTATCAATTTGATACAAAGAATACCTTTTTACTTGGGAGAAGAGATGTACATGGAGATTCCGCTTAGTGTGACAAATCAGCAACAATATATATATTGATATATATACTGATGATCGATTTTAAAACTTAAAAATGAATTGATGCGCCTTTTTCAAATATTCCACCTGATTATATGACTCATTATAAATCTCACTATCATGTAATGCAAAACCACACTGGCAATTAACTCCCGTTGCTAACAAGTAAGAAGATACATTTACCCATTTGTTTTGTTTTAAACCCCAAATGTTCAACCAACAATGAGGTAATGGTGCATACTGGGGACAATACAGCGACCACATTGACACAACCATAAGTCAAACAGAAACCTCAAGCGAATTAAAGAAACTCAATTGAAGCCAGTAAGAAAAGAGTAATCAGAAAAATATGCCATAATAAAATGTACAATGGTAATGGCAATAATGATAGTTATAATAACAATAATAAGCAGATTAAGAGATACCTCATTAATGACGATTTGGTGCCTTGTTCCAAGCACCGCAATTTCAGAAACTGCCAAGTGAAGAATAGAAAGCTCCAATATCCTACCTGATGGCTCGTTCTGAAATGCATCAATAAATAAGATGAAAACTACTATGGGTATTAGCAAAGAAAATAATAGTCACAAATTGCCTATTCATTAAGGCACATGAGCAAGGGGCAAAACAGAGGTAACATGTCAATAGCTGGCCTTACATTTGCCACAGGCACCCACTAAAAGGATGTAAATGGACACAGAAGAGAAGGAACAGAAAAACATATCCAGATCTAATTCTTTGACTAAACTGAAGGTCATGATGAGACAATAATGAAGCTAGGTCCCCCCCATCCGGCAATGAAGGAATTGAGGGGTCTTATAAATGGTTTCCAGATGGTTTGGGGAAGGAAAAAAAACTGAGTTCTTCCACAGATAATGTTTTAGGAAGACAGGTAATTTTGATCCTTTATAGGGGTATTTTAGGAAAAATGTTTTAATTACACCCAGAACCTTGTAATGAGACTTATAACTAGGGACACAACAAATATAAAAATCGAGACTTATAACTGGGGATGGAGGGAGTAGAAGATAGAAAAGGTTAGAGTAACAAGCACAGCAACAAAGCCAATAGACGCATGATACTGCTTAACATGCGTCATATATATGCATTTCTTATGAATACTTGAAGCTGGTTTAAAGCTTGGTTTCTATATTCATTGCATGCAGCGCAGATTTTGCCGTTTTCATCTGGTCAAGAATGTGTTTTCAAGTTAAGCAACACAGCGCAGCAGAAGAGGAATTCAATGAAGTGATCTAATTAAAAGATTGGTAGCTCTAGGTCAAAAGAATAATAATCTACTCAGTGTACCAGCTTCCTTGTCGTTTCATAGGATGCGCTTCATCTTCTGAATTTAAAATGAAGCAAGGGAAAGGGTAGGCTCAATGAAAGGTGAAAGCTGACAAAGCCCACCCACAGCGGTGCCTTAAATATAGGTGATAGAAACTTTATAATATCAGTAAGTGGTTTAGAACAGACACTTTACTCATGATATCGAAAAGAACAAGAAAATCAGCTACTGCGAGTTGCACAAGAGATAGTAAACTTAAATAGTTTATACTTTTCCACATTTGCTAATTTGCTCATCAACACACATCTCTTTGAAATTGGACTGCACAAGAAAGGATCACTCAGTTCACCCAAAGAAAAAAAATATAATGCTCAAGGAAAGGGTCAAGGGGAGAAAGAGTTCAGACCAACAATTTGAAATTTGACTCAGTTAAATGTATAGCAATTGGAGATAGGATAGAGAACCAGAGGGGGGAGAGAGAGAGAGAGAGAGAGAGAGAGGCATAAATAATCAGCCAAGCTCCTGTGAACCTGAAAGTTCAGTTTGAATTATTCTCAAATGGCATATGTTCCTTTCCTAGACAACTCATTCAAGCACTCTTTGTGGTATCATAACACTCAATGTCAAACTAAAGAGTGTTGCCAATGATGACAATCCAAGAAATATGAGGGGACAAATGCATTGTCTACTTTTGCGGGCATCTAGCTAGGGAAGTTCAACATGAACTTCTAGGAATAATAACTGCAGTTTAGCCAAATTTTTAAGACAGAAGTCTTCCCCCTAAAAGTAAAAATGAGAGGCTCATATATTGCACGAATGGAGTTTTGAAGGAGAATTTAAATTTTGAGCACATTATCTATCATAGTTGTGAGACCTTCCAATTTTCTGGAATGACTTTGTTAATGGCAAGGACATGGCTATCCCATCTATCCATAACAGCAACCAACAATTTCCTCGCAAACCTGCAGATAGAGCACAATTCCCCTTTCACTCGCTAGCACACAAAAGCATGTAAATATGCAGTAATGAGGGGTAGGGATGAAAAGCTTTTGTTAAAAGTACCGGTTTACGTGTTACCTCAAAATAAGTTTACTATATACTAGCTTTGGAGGAGCTGCAAGGACTTCTGCTTCTGGTATGAGAAAATAACGTATTAAAACCAGTCTAAAGAGAGTATTTACACAAGGAAAAAGGAAGTAATCAAATTACAAATGCATATTCTGGTAAAAAAATAATAATAATTAATGCATATTTTAGAACAGAGAACTCTTAATTTAGGCAACTATGCAAGTGAAATCACAGGGACATCTCCTATAACCCAAAAAAAAATGACACAATGTACAAAACTGAATTACGTTTATCATACATATAATAGGCAAAATAAAAATAAAAGGTAATGGGCTTTTCCATGAATAAAATGTGCCTGACGTAGAAGGCTTTTAAAACAAATCGAGGTCATATATGCTTACTGTTGAAAAGAACATAGAGAAAGAATAAATCTTGGTTGTAAGTGGATCTTGTCAAGGGTTTTGCAATTTAGTCTAAAGAAATATCAAGACAAGGCCAACTTAGAACATCATATGACCAAATCCTCAACTGAATCAAAAATTGATTACACTTAAAGAAAAGTATCTTTTAGTGTCTCTATAAGTATAAGATAATAAATTTGATATTGCTATCCTGAGACTTAATAACATGAGCAATGAGCATGCCAGGACTTTTAAGCTTGAAACGTCATGAAAACCCAATATTGTAGCTATTGCGTCTTGCTTTAAAACAGGTAGGGACAAAACGATCCAAGTGACAGGCTGATGCAACTGCAACTTCACCAGCAGACCAACATTAATAGAAAACACTGTCATTAAATCATGCTGACGGCATATTTTGATTTGAAATATAATGGATTCGCAGTGCTTACAAATGACAATGAAGCGGTGAGAAACTAGTAGGAGATCCACCAAGAAATTGTAATATGGTTTGGATCCACTTTTGACTTTCTAGTAAATTTCAGAAATTACGACCACTTTTTAATTAAAAGAAATGACTGGTCTGTTACCAATGGCAGACTCCTTTTCATTTTTCTGCAGAAGTTCATTAGCTTCTTCAATTGATTCGACTGTAACAGGTGGCCCTCCAAAACTCATATGATTGTATTCTAGTAGCTTCTCCTTGTCAAAGTCATACCCGAGTTCTGCACATTCACAGGCGATAACAACTTTAAACATAAAACTTAAATATAGCCGAGTTCTTCAAAGCTCGGGCAGATTATCACCGATTGAACCCAGAATTAAGATATTATATGGAAAAAAAAAAAAGCAAAGATATCAAATAAGGGCCGTTACCTCGACGCGCGTTCATACGCTTCTCAAACAGCCGAACTGCGTCCGACCCTTCTAGACAGGCGGCGTAAATTATGGACCTGTGCACCCGAAACTTCGGCTTAACAAACTACAGTGCCTAAGTGAATGCATGTGAATACTTATATAAAGAACTTGGGGGTTTTCACCGGAAAAAAAAAAAAAGTTGGAACGAAGAATTTACAGAGCAAGTTCTCTGGCGGCTCTAGGACTGCAAAACCTCCCACTTTTATCGATCTTCGGCAGCATTTCTCGAGCATATATTTTAGATGAAGAATCATTGGTTTTGCCAAGAGCTTCTTCGAGCGCAAACGCCGAACTGCGGAGAGCAGGTCGAGGGGAGACGGTTGATGTGCTGCTCTTGCGCGAAGATCTGTTGGGATTATGCAGGAATTGCCGGGTGAATGCTGACGATGAAGAATAATAAAAAGAGCGGGGTTGGAAGCTGAGATTGAACTGAGGCTTAAAGTTAATATGACTTGCAGAGGATGACAGTGAAGATAATGAACTGAGCAGCGAGCTTCTATCCATTTCCCGGACTGCCTTGTGTATGGGTCCAACTTCTGGACTTGCTCGAGCTTTCACACGAAAATGGTGAGATAATTGATCATTATCGGATAATTATCGCGGAGGATGCAGTAGCCGGTCCGATTTCCCGTGCCGCGATATGAAGGTGCGTCACAGGATACGAGGGTGCAATTTTACATTCAAGGATGCGGATGCTTATGCATCAAAAAACTAAGTTGAGATTTTGAATAACCAAAATATGATTTGCGTATTAAAAAAAATATTTTAAAATGTTGAATATATCATGAAAAATTTTAAGACACTGCCGAAAATACATCATATTGCTGGATCTACCCTAACAATACATCTGTAACAATTTCATTATATAATTTTTGTGATGAAAATATTGTATGGACTTTGTTTTAAGTACTCCTTCGATCTTTATTATAAGACCTCATTTGACTTTTTATTTGGTCCTAATTATAAGACCCCAATCCATTTTGTCTCTTATATTTATGCATTTTTTCCAAGATAATCCTTCTAATAATGATAGTTTTAGCCAATATATTAATTAGCAAGGATATTTTAGGAATGACAACATTTATTTATTATAAATAACCACTTAACTTACTTCCTTAATCTCCTCAAATAAGTCAATTAGCCAATATATTTGATGCTTTTGTCTGCGTTGCAAATAAGATTATCACCTTTTTAAATATTTTTATTTAGATGCTAGTGTTCTGAAATATATCTACGGACTGATTTTCCCATAAAAAAAAAAAAAGTGAACATGATAGTATTGGTATGTGATATCTGTTGCTTTGCACTGAGTCTCTCAGCGGAAATGAGTTTCTATTTATTTTATTGCGTGGAGAGAAGTTTTTTTTTTTTTAAATAGTCGTCTTACTTTTTTTTTTTGCCAACATAATAGTTGTCTTCATTAAATTACTTCCACCTTCTATTTATATGAAAATTATTTCATAAAGCAATACTTTGGCGGATATTCTAAACACCATCAACTCCAGGTGAACAATCTGTTTTTTGGATGCTGGACTGATGCGAGTTTACTACTCATCCTATCCTTAATATAGAACATATTTATTAATTTTTCTCATATTTATTGTGTTAATTTGTTGAGTTAATTTTAGTTCTAAATATAAAACTTATTTCTCATATTTATTATTATTTTTTAAATTACTTTTATGGATACTCCTTCAGCCATAATCAAGTAAACGAATGAGGAAGGATGTTAAGAAAGATGATTATAGTATTTTAAAAAAAATATGTCATATTTCTTATAATTAACTAACTTACATAACTTCTTTAATATAATCAAATTAGTTAAGTAGGTTTGAGTGCATATTTTTTTCGCGCCCTCCTACTTGGAATATCCTTTGCTATATGCAGTGGTTACTTTTGTTTAATCTTACGACTGCTCAGAAACTAAAACCCCGAGTTCTTTATCTGAAAGGAACTGAAGAATGTATGCTGACTGAAACTCCGTTAAACCCATGGAGTTCCTTTACTAAAAACTGACATCTCGTTCCCCTTAAAAGGAAATTTCGATATGTAATTTTCTTTCATGGTTACACCTGTTATTATGATCTCCCACTCCTTTTCTTTTTCTTTTTTTGTGGAAAATAACTCAAATCAAATTTACATATTTCTTCTTTGGATGTGTGAAAGCTATGCATTGCTGAATCCACAGATCTAAATTAATGCCAAGCTCAGATTATCTGCAAATTCGTTTGGTACGGAAGGCTGCATTTGATATAAATTTTCTTCTGTTTCTTGTGGTTTATATCTAGAACTACTTTTGATAAGTTATGAACTTTTTCTTTCTTTACATGTTAATGCTCATGAATTGTAACCTTCCTTTATCTTATTTATAAATATCATTTTGTTCTGATTAAAAAAATAAAATACTTCAATTCATATAATAAAAACACTATTGTTTCAAGTACTGGCACAACATTTTTAGCTCCCTAATTTGGTACATCGTTTGGATTGCGTAGCTTATATTGTATTTTCTATAAATATAACATGACCAAGTTTTGGTGATGCATTAGCAAAATCAGGATGACTTGATACATGTGAGTGGAAAAATAGCGCGTCAAACCAAACTCACACCTGTAAATGGAATTACAACAAGATAATTATTTACGATACTTATCCAGTTTTAAATGTAAAGTTTATTCGGTAGTATAAATTACATTATAAAATAAGGTTTTTATTTAGAATTGGAGGAGGATTATATTTCATTAATAAATACTGACTTGTTCTGGATAATTTGTGGAGGTTTTCCTCGTAACTTTGAAAAGAATAGGAAAGCATGTTGTCCGATCAAATTGTACTAACTGCGATAGCAAACAATGTGATTTTCCCCAAGTCGAAGGATAACATTAACGTTGTTTTCTCCTTATTACCATGCGTTGATAGTAGCTCGCGGAGCAAAACTTGATTGACTGCTGCATTGTTGACATAGACTCATTTGAATTGCTGAATTCCATCACCGTGTTCAAATGAAAAGCATATCATTTAACTAATTCACGACACAAAAATATGAGGTATGAAATCAACAACCAACATAAGATATTACAAACATACAAAAAAAAAAATTTAAACTTACTCACTTTTACATTTATAAAATATTTATTAAACTTAAAAAATACACAAAAATTATCTCATAAAATGTAAAATAAATTTGTTAGCATTTTTTTAAGGGCCATTCATCCTTCATACCCCCTAAAATTGTTAGATTGTGTTATATATAAAATTCGACCTTTAAAAAAATAAGGCATTTCATACATTAATCATCATTTCTAATTTATATTATGCAAAATTATTTTCACCCCTTTCATCGCATGAGGTCTATATTATTTTAGCATTAATTTTACATGTCAGTATAAAAAATAAAAATCAAAAGCAACTCAAAATATAAATAATACAATGCATCTAAAAAGGTGAGAATCGTATAAGTTTAAGATCAGGTATCAACGGGATATGTGTTCATTTTCTTACTTAGTAAAAACAATTCCTAAAATTTTAATATATATTTAACATAACTCTTAACACTGTTAAAATAAAAAACATTAGCTACACATCATAAATTCATCATTTATTTCATACATAAATATAAAAAATAAAATTAATAATATGTAAATGTATAAATAATACAATTTATTAAAAAACTGAAAACCCCTCAATCAACAGTAGGTATAAAGAAGCGACACTTGTTGGCTTTCTCATTTAGTAAAAATAATTTCCAAACTTTTTAAGTGCAAATCCATAATAAAAAACACTTTAAATTCTTAAAATAAAAAAAATATTTGTTGTATTTAATATTTTATAAATAAACTCATCACTAATTTTTTATGTCAACATAAAATAAAATCAATAATAAGTCAAAAATATAAATAATGCAAATTATTTTTTAAAAATAAAATCTATTAAGTTTAAGAATATGCATCACAACAGGACATATGTGCATTTTCTCACTTACTAAAAACAAAACCTAAACTTTCAATGGCAAATGCATATTTACAAAACTCTAAACATTATTAAAATAAAAAATATTGGTTACACATGACATGTTATGAATAAATTTATCATTAATATTATATATAAATATAAAAATAAAATCAAGTTAATATATAAATAATATAATTTATTATTTCAAATTTAAATTATAAAAATTGTTTTCACACCCATGCTATTTATAACCCAGTGTCACTTGGCAAAAAAAATTGCAATGTTACATGCTCCTCTCATGGAAGAATGACGCAAAAAATATAAAAATTACTGTTCACGTTCTAAATATAAAATCTTTTTTGTAACGTATATAAGGGTCTTATATTTAGGATTGGAGGAATATTAAATTTTGAATCAGGATTGGTCTTTATAGGTCAGATTTTGATGACACTTAACTTATAAATAATACTACATCCAGTCTAATTATAAGAGCTAGTTGATAATTTGAAGAGATTAAAAAAATAAGTTAAGTTAGTTATTTGTAATAAATAGGTGTTGTATTTTTTAAAATATCTTTGCTAATTAAATGTATTGGTTAGAATTACCATTGCTAGAAAGACTACCTTGAAAAAAAAATACATAAATATGAGAGACAAAGTAAATCGGGATTTTATATTTAGGACCAAAATAAAAGTCAAACAAGGTTTTATATTAAAGACCGGAAGTAGTAATATATTTTTATAAAAAATTTGGTTTAATACCATTTTTGGTCAATCAAGTTTGCTTTTATTTTAGTTTTGGTCCTTCAAATTTCAAATCATAGGTTTCAATTCCTTAAATTTCTTTTCATGTAAAATATTAGTCCCTATAATTCAATAAAAATATGGACCATTTTGCCCCTAGAGGGATCAAAACCTATGATTTGAAATTTGAGAAAATTAGTTTCACTGCTCATCATTTTGATGAGCGCCATAAACTTATCAGATCTAGACTATCTATATCTGATTTGAACGATCCAGATTTAAAATCTTTAACTAATTATTTTTAAATAGAAAAAATATTTTTGAAAAGAATGATAATTAAGAGATGATCCCTATTTTAGATTCTCAATGTATTAAAATAATTATTTTGAACAAATAAAGAAAAAGAAATTAAATCTGGACCATCCAAATAAAATATGGATGGTTTATATCTGATGAGCTTATGCTCATCACTGGTTCCAAATTTGAGGGACTAAAACTAAAATAAAGATAAATTTGAAGGACCAAAAGTTATATTAACCCAAAAAATTTTAATTTAAGGTTTATTAATTGTTAGCTTCTCGCACACATTCTTCCTATGCTTAATTTTGATATTATAATAAACTAGTATTTTGGTTCTAAATATAAGAGTTAATTAATTAATTTGAGTAGATTAAGGAATAAGCTAAGTTATTTATTTATAATAAATAAGTATTGTCTTTTCTAAAATATCATTATTAATCAAATGTATTAGTTATAAAAAAATATCTTAAAAATATATAAATATGAGAAATAAAATAGATTATAATTTTATACTAATGATGAAAATAAAAATCAAACAGTTTTATATTAAGATACTACCTCCGCTCATTAATATAAGACTTTGTTTGATTTTTATTTTAATCCTAAATATAAGATCTCAATCCACTTTGTCTTTTATATTTATGGATTTTTTTCAAAATAGTCTTTCTAACAATCATAGTTCTAGCTAATACACTTGATTAGTAAGAATATTTTAGGAAAGACAATACTTATTTATTATAAATAACTAATTTAATTTTTTTTAATCTTTCTAAATTAATTAATTAGGTTTTATAATTAGAATCAGAGGTAGTATGATACAGTACTATAATTTACATTTTCACAATTATAGTAAATCTAGTTTTGGGATCTATAAATAGAGGCGCTGGGTACTCAGCTGTTAGCAACGCAGACCCCAAAGGGGACAAAACAGGGCCTCTCTCGCTTCCTCGAACACCGGGGGGGACGCAGGACAATCACCTACGGGCGACTTTACCGTCAGATCCCATCATCGCTGCCGTCAGTTCTCTGTCCAAGTACTCCGACAAGCATTACATGGTCGGAGAGCCCCTCTATCAGAATTTTTCTTTCGCACGATTTTAGCGTCACGTAGGGCTTGGTATTGTCGCAAACCCTGGTATGATTCTTTTCTTGTTATTATAGATTTGGCCTATATGTTGATTTGGGCGATAATTCTAAACACTGTTCTGTTAAGTTTATAGTTTGTTTATTCCTTATCTTTGCAAAATTCTCCAATTTGTCTTCGCAGCATACATTCATCGAACTGACTGTAATATTTATTTCAATCCGTACTATTTTTCATTTTTAGTAGTACTAGAGACTTGTTAGTTCCAGACTAAGTTCAGACAAAATGTATAGATTAGGAGAAACATTTGAGGTCACCGAAGAAACTTATGATCGCTGTATAGTCGATCCTGAAATAGTTGGGGGTTCTGGTTCTGTTTTTGTTTAAAACTCTTTCTAAAACTGTGGTACGTTTCATTGACTAGCCTCACGAACGAATTCCCTTACGCACTCTCTTATAATGTAAATTTGCTTTGAAATTCTTCCCTCTCTATTTCATACTCGTTCCGCATTCCTCAATTCTACTTGCAGACAGATCTCTATAATCATAGCCCTACTTTTCTTGCTTACTATTAACACATGAAGGTCTGATATCTGTCATATTTCTATTGATAATCTGTTCACGCTTTATGCAAATTCCCGTGAGCCTTTGTCTGATTTCTTTTGGTTTTCGTTTTATTGTTGATTATTGGGAAGTTTGCTCTAGTGTTTTGCAACTACTGATACTTCTAAAATCCGCTCATAATTATCACTACTGGAAAGCATGGAAAGTCATGGTTCTTTCCAATGGATTTTTTTTTTGGCGGTTAAAACTTTTTTTTCTGAGACAATTTTCTTTTAGATGAATTAAGGATTTATACTAATTAGTCTGAAATATTGTGGTTTATAGATTGGCATCCTTGTCTGTGGTCTGCCGCTTGAAGCATACATAATAGTTTGTAGAAATGGCTGATCAAGGATTGGAAGGTAGCCAACCGGTAGATCTCAAGAAGCACCCTTCTGGGATTGTGCCTACCCTTCAGTGAGTAGCTATCTTTTTTTACTTAAAAAAATACTCCCTCCGTTCCTTATTATAAGAGGCGAATAACCGAATTATGTTGATAAAAAAAACAATTAAAAGTAGTTAAGAACAATCAATGTGTAAAAAATATAATTTTTTTCAAAAATACCCTCATTAATAAGGAGAGAAAGTATGAGAGAGAACAATTAAATTATTGAAAGAAAGAGAAGTGAGAGGTAGAGAGTGTGTGATTGGAGACAATAAATATGGGTAATAGGAAATCAACACAAAAAAGTAGAGACAACTTTAAGTGTCTCTTATATATAGGAACATGCCATAAGCACCAAATGTCTCTTATAATAAGGAACGGAGGGAGTATTTCCTAATTTACACTTTAATATGATGCTTGGTGGATTGCATGAGATTTTTGGACATTTTTCTTCAAAGGGTGGTATTTATTTTTTATACATTATTTTTTATAAATGCATTGTTCCTAATAACAAATAAAAAAAAAGGTTATCGTTGTTCAAGCATTGTTCCATGTTGGCGGTTTGTTGTGATTCAGATGTGTTGTTACTGGCATTGAGAATTCAAATTGAAAGCAATTGCATGTCTGTTGCGGCTTGTTTTGTGTTTCTATGTGGGCTTAAGTCAGCTGGGTTTTCTATTAACATGGGTGAAGTTATCTCAGTCAGTATATTCTTGTTTATATGTCATAGATGACAAGTGTTACTTTTGGCCAGAGGCTGTCTTTAAGATTGATCTGTAAAATGTCAGTCTCCTTTAAGCAGTGTAGCTGGATCAAGTGTTTTTAGTTCCCCCAATTTTAATTTTAATACTCACGTGAGGTTCAGTAACATAGGCAGTGGAAATATATGTTGTCAAAATGTGAAATTATGCATAAGAATTTTGTGTGTCGTGCACTTTTTAAAGACACACTTTCCTGATCAATGGAAAAAGATCATTCTAGGGCCAGAATTACATCCGATGTTGCTCCTATACTTGAAGGTAGATATATGCTTATTAGATATGTATCTAATGTGATGTACCCATTGTTAGATCTTGAATGGTGGTGGTGAAGGGTTGAAAGAGTTGGGTGATGGTAAGAAGGATGATAGATAAGAAAAAATCTTGTAGGGCTTTTAGAGTCATTACATTATAATATTTATTTAATTATTTAATTTCTAATTGAATATAAAAAATAATTTTTTTTTAAATTCTCAATATCGTACCAAGCATATACGCAGCAATGAACATTCCATTCCATTCCTATCTTTTTTTCTTTCCATGGGCCTGGAAGAATTGTACCGAATGGATCCCAAGTATTTTCTGTCTCCCCTTTCTCTCACAATTTATCTTTTTCTAGATATTTTTGACTGTTTCGTATCTAGCATGACATTGGTCTTCTGTTATGACATTCTCGAATTAATAATAAAGGGAATGATATTTAGTAATGACAGGAGTTAGTTTATAGCCGTTATAGGACTATGTTAGAGGTTATATAAGGAAGCCTGATTGTAATTGCAGATCAGTTTTGGAAGTTAATCAAAAGTATTATTCAGAATTCTCTCCTAATTCTTTCCTACTATTTCCTATCCAACCACAGAACAGTTTACTCTATGATTTTGTTGAAAAAACTTCCATTTTGTTACTACATATTCTTTCTGCTACATTTGGATATCAACTTGATTTTCAGCAAAGGCAACGTAGTGCAACTTATGAGCTGGTCTTCCTTGCATATTGAAAGAATTGATTTCATCAAAAGCTTATTTTAATGGAAAAGTCTGATTTTATGTTCATTGAAAGTTACAAGGATTCCTTGTCTGTGCCTGAATTCTTAATTTCATATTATGTAATAGACCGTGGTATCTGACGATCACTTAGATTGAAAGACCCAGAGAGAGAGAGAGAGAGAGAGAGCTATCTCTGGTGTTCTCATATTCTCTGTCCTAGAGTTACAACTAAATAGAGATATAATCTTTATAACAACGAAGAGGCAGGCATAACTGAGATGCCTAAGAACAAGTTGGTAATCTGAGTGACAGAACATTTCTTTATTAGATAATTGTTATCGCCAAATTTCTTAATTAAATAATCCTTATTTCCTACCACCAAAATAGAAAAGGTGATCCTTATGTACATCTCTGGTACATCGCATGATGCCTAATTATGGTATCTTATGACTTCTTGAATGTAATGCATAAGTTGATCAAATTTCAGAGCTTCCTTTTCGGTTGTTGCTGGTGTATGTGATGTTTATTGTTATTCCTTATCCACTTGTTCTTTGCCCAATTAAGCAATTTCAAGCATCAAATAGGATTTATATCCCCATGCCAGGCTCTTTTTTGGATGGACTCAACGCATGCTAAAAGATTTTTTTAGTGAAAGTTCTATATTTATTTCAATTATATGAGAAGTTTTGCTTCTACTTTCATTGGAAAATCTTAACAATGCATATGCTTTTTACTTCCAGGAATATTGTTTCAACAGTCAATTTGGAGTGTAAGTTGGACCTGAAAAAAATCGCACTTCAGGCTAGAAATGCGGAATACAATCCCAAAGTAAGCACTGTTTTTTTGGGGCAAAATTGGAGCTGCGCAAGCTATGCTCTCTTTTCTTCTTCTTTAATGATTTGCTTGTTACGTCCCATAAATTGCAGTGATTTTATATGGGGCAGCAAAAATTGTTTTATGCAAGTTCTTTCATTAAAATCGCCTTCACTTGTAGGCTATCATTTGTAATGCCCATATTGCTCATGTTTTTGAGATGTGATCTTTTGCAGCGTTTTGCTGCTGTGATTATGCGGATAAGGGAACCTAAAACTACTGCGCTCATCTTTGCGTCTGGCAAGATGGTATTGTTTTATCTGGAATTTGGCTCCATTTATATTATTATAGAATTGTCTTAATTTTTAACATCTTATTTACATGATAATGGGATTTGAGTTTTAGGATGTCATTGTGATGGAGATTTGGTGGTATGAGATACTAAGTCCATGGGATGCTTAATATTTAAGTGAAGCGGTTCTCCGCTAGCTTTTGGGATGGGGTTTCCATCACACTTAGTTATCCATTGATTGGTGTTAAAACCAGGTTGTTGGCGGCTGAATGGGTTTGTGGATAGGTCTTTCAGATTGGCAGGTGGCTGGGTGAAGCGTCATGGAGTTTAGCTGTTTTGAGACAATGGAGATTTGGTAGTAGCTAGCCCCATATTGAGTAGCATAGGATGCCCAATGGTATATGTGAATGGGTTGGTTCTCCCACCTAAACAGTTAGCTTTTGGGGGAGGGTTCTCGTTCCCATTTAGACCCATCACATTGTGTTGTACTAGTCTAATTCTTAACTATATAAATGAATAAGATTAGAGGATGGGCCACTTGTTTGCATTATTTATTTTGATGGTTGTAATATGCCTTTTGAGTTCTCATAAGTTTTGCCTTTTCTGATTGTAGCTTGAGTGTGCATGTTTCTTATATAATCTAAATTTAAATGGTGTGATTAGGTTTGTACTGGAGCTAAGAGTGAGCAACAGTCTAAATTGGCAGCACGGAAGGTGTGAATCTGTCATTTTTATTCTCACTTGTCATGTATGAATTACTGACATTTTCCAAGTGGAAGTCGACTTGTTATAACACGAGCTTGATTGTGTTATATTTGTATTGGTAATAGCAACTTCATGTATTTAACGGAGGTGAAATGGTTGAATGTTCTGATTTCTTGTACCAAGCGTGAAGCAAACTATTTTCTCAATTGGGATTTGGGAATCATGTTATCTTTGAATTGGAATTGGAAGTCCTTTCTAATTGTGTTATTTCCCGTTCAGTATGCTCGAATTATCCAAAAACTTGGTTTCCCAGCTAAATTCAAGGTATCATTTAAACTTCTCTCTACTATCTTCATTGAACTGGTTTTCTGGCAAATTGTCTTTCCATGCACTGCAAGTGGTACTTTATTTTGAATTCTGGGGATCATGTTTCAGGATTTTAAGATTCAGAATATCGTTGGCTCTTGTGATGTCAAGTTCCCGATACGGCTTGAGGGCCTTGCATATTCTCATGGTGCTTTCTCTAGTGTAAGTCTAGAAATTGTTTTCTTTCCATAGTGTTTAGTTGGTGATTCGTATATGTAAGTGTTAATCCATAAATTCGTTAAATGATATAATTCTTAATCATTGGCCTCTATGGGTGATTATATGGAAAATTCTTGAGAGGGTCATGTCAAAAGGCCAAGTTGCAATTTTGGAAGACTGGATCTGACTCATGCAAATGGTGAAAAGCAATTTGCAGCCAAAATATTCTGCGGCCAACACTCCCACCTGCAGTAAAAAAAACCCAAAATATAATACGATTGAATGCTGCTTTGGCTTTATTAAATGCTTTGCCAAACATACTTTGTTGATGTTTATGAATGGATATTTTTCAAAATTATATATTAAAACTGAAGGGAACAGTTTCATATTCTAGAGGGGCCCTGCATGTCACGATGCTTTGAGTCTTGTAGAGGGTGTGCATAGATTAAAAGGGTCATCTTCAGTTCTTTCAATGGATGACGATTTTTCTTGTCTCCTGTGATCCGCTAGAAAGTTTAGGAAGCATTGGATATTTGTTGAACTTCCTTTTCCCTGGTGTTTAGTATGAACCAGAGCTGTTTCCAGGACTAATTTATCGGATGAAGCAACCAAAGATAGTCCTGCTTATATTCGTCTCTGGAAAAATTGTTCTAACAGGGGCAAAGGTAACATATTTTAAGGTATTCTCGTATTGTGCTACATTGTGTGTTTCTGCCTTTGTGGAATTGACTGTCTTAATTCCATCTCTACAGGTGAGGGATGAAACTTACACAGCCTTTGAGAACATATATCCTGTGCTCACTGAGTACAGGAAAAACCAGCAATGGTATGGAAATGGTTTCATTCACTTTCCATTTGGCGATCTATGAGTGCTATTACAATTTACAATGGAGTTCTCATATTATCTATATTTATTATCTACAACTCTAGGTGATTTGGGTCCCAACCTGACTTTTTGCTATTTATTTCAATAGAAATTGTGGAAAAACGAGTGGGGCGGGGGGTGAGTTTCAAAGGATGCTGCTAAGCTCTGATGCATTTATTTTTATGTTTCCTGCTTGCTATTCATGGCAGATTACTGTCAAGAGCAGCAATGAGATGAATTGTGGATGTGCAAAAGTCATGAATTTATTGGAATGGATGGTGGAACTTGGTTGAGCTGTAAATACTAAGAAAGGAGATCCCTGAACGAGGTAACTCGGGAATAATCATGTATCTTGTTCCGTCAGTTTGTCGATGGGTTTTGATGTAGTGAAGTGAGAAGCACATTAGAGAAGAAAATGATTTGGATGAGGCAGGAAAAATTGTAACAAAACATACTTGAAATGGCACAGCTTTTTTCTTTTTCCTTGTAAGAGTTGTCGGGTCTTGTGCTGTTCTATAATATGTTGTTTTGGTGGGGGCATTTAAATACATACTCTCAGATGTTTAGTGAGATTTAAATTTAAATGTGATGTTTATAAACCTTGGTCACTTGAATTGACATGGTTACTTAATTTAATCAACAAATATTACCCCGATCAATTGCCGACTGGTTGAAATGACGTCTCGGAAGGGGATGGATCTAGTGATCCTAGTGTCTGGTTATTAAGTTGTTTATGATTTAGAATGCTTCTACACATCTGCCTAAAAACATGTTTTGCTACGACGTCTAGCTGTTTTTAACGTCGCCTTTAATGACTTGTTTGCTGCAAACTTCACACCTGCAATTGTATCCTTGCAGAGGATATTTTGTTGTAAATCCCCTACTACAGCCCAAATGTCTGTGAAGGTGAGGAATGCATCCGATTTGTTGTGTGATGGGGTATTTTTTGTGAGGATTTAGAGGCATCTTAAATTATTATAATGTTATTTCGTCTCCGAACTTCAGAAAAAAGCTTCAAATGAGTTGGCAAATGTTGATTGTGAACGTTAGATTGAAATTTTATTTCATCTTAAATACTGATATGTGAGATTTCTGCCTTGCAACATATACTATTCCGGTCCATATAGCTGTGAATACGGGTCAGTTTGTCACAATCTGCGGGTTATGCAGTGCGGGTTGGAGCAGTCTGCATTTTGGAGGGCTGGAAAATTCCCAACTCTAACCCGCCGGGCCAGCCCGCCAATTTTTTTTAATTCTCGATTTTTAAATTTTATTTTTATTTAATTTTTTTAAATAATAAATGGTTATTTAAAAGTTAAAAAGCAATCATAAGTATAAATGATGTTTAACCACATTTAGAATAGTCAATACAAATGTAAAATAATGCATTATAAATATTTCACATGATTAACGTTCAATATCAACTCATCAAGTGATTAATTTTATAATTTTTTTCATGCAAATGTCATGTTTGATACAAAACACTATCTCTTAATAAATTAGAAGTGTATTTATCTAATTTTTTTTAAAAGTTTGTTTACCATGTGCTTCTGAAACACTTTTTTTTTTCATTATAAATATTGTCTTATATTTGATTGTAGTTATCAAAGTTTTGCTATAAATATAGTATGCTTATTTTTAAAAAATATTTTTTGTTTACATATGTATTATATAACATGAAAATTAAAATGTAAATAAAAGAAGAAAATTTTCAAATATAATATATTATTTATATGAAAAAAATTTTATATAAAAAAAGTGACAGGTTAGGCGGGCCAAGCCACCAACTCGTGGGCTAGCCCGTCGTAGCCGGCAGGTTATGCGGTGCTGCTAGGTGCGGCGAGCTGACAAAATACCAATCTAACCTACTCTTTTATAACAGGTTGGCGGCCCGACTCATGGTTCTAACCCGTATTTTCGGCTCTACCGGTCCTCAATATAGGTCTTAAATATAAAATCTATTTAGAATGATGGAGTAATTTACAACTCTGAAACAATCACAAGTGACCTTTAGTAATTTACAAGTAAATCATGAATGAATGTGAGCATGGGATCTCGTATCGTTTTCAAGTTGTCTTGCAAAATTTACTTCTTTTTTTAGGAAAAAAAAAAGAAAATGAATGACCTGTGAGGACTACTAAAATAAGACGTTGACATATAAATTTTGCTAAAAAAGCTAATTTTGTTGGAGTTCTTTTCTTTTTTCTTTTTGTTAAATTACTATATTCCCCATAATTTGAAATTACACTAGATCTTTGACATGTTCCAGCAACTTTGATTATGATTAATGAAGCTCGGGAGTGGGAATCACTTTCCATAAATAACTTCGTTTCAAGTCACAAAACTCCTTTTTTCAATATAAAATATAAACCTAGCTGCTTCAATATCTTTTCCCATATTTTGGATTTTCGTGCATTCATGATCCCAAAATATCATTTTAAATAGACCAAAATATACATTTGGTCCTATAATTTTTTGAATCCGATCTCTTAACTTTAAAAAATATACTTTTAGTTCTTTAACTATAAAGTTTTTAAAAAAAATGATGACATTAAAATTTTAAATATTAATAAAATATTCTCAAATGCTAACATATTAAGTTTAATTTTCAAAATATTTATGATTATTACAGAAAATCATCATTAAAGTCTAATGATTTTAGGATTAAAGGACCAAATGTATGTTTTTAAAGTTAAGAGATCAAATTAAAACCTTATACAAAGTTAAATAACCAAACATATACTTCAGCTTTTAAATAAGTAATGGCACATTTACCATTAAACCCCGGGTTCAACGTCAATGCGCCCTGCGATCATTATTTAAGGTAATTATCTGCCCTGCCTTTGTCGCAATATATGGATGTTAACAATTGCGACATAGCTCAAGAATTTTGTATCCTTTTTGTCGTTGGGGATTAAAAAACTCAGATTATAGCTATGAATGGAAAGTAACATCATGATAGATAAGACAAAGGCCTCAGCGAGAAATCATAGGTGTAACTGGTAAGTGCAAATGTGCAATGCTACGTCATAAATCCAACATAAAAGTAACGGTAGTTTAACAGGATGATGATGTCACATCATTCGTGCTGCGGAGTGCAACTAGTTTCATCTTGTGCTTGCTGTGCTAGTTCCACAAATAGATAAATCTAATTGTACCATACAAATGATACTAATTCTATAACAGAATGAGTAGTATTATTCTAATAGTGTCAAGCTCATTAAGTTGACCATGATCCAGCACGCAACTGCTATTAGATTATACACAACAGCCAAAACAAAGTGGATCAATATACTTAGTAACCTACCGTCGATTTGATTGCATCCAATATCTGCATCAAAGGGGTGGCAAAAACTAGTATCAAAGACAGCTTTCGTTACTTAGGACAAGAATCACTAAAGAAGCACAGAAAATTAAGGAAGCGCTGCGAAATTACCTTATTCTTGGTGGGCATGTAAAAGGGTTCAAAAACTAGAGGGAAAGGGGTGTCCAGACCGCAAATTCTTGTTATAGGGGCCTCTAGCTGCACAAAATATAAAAAGATAAAGGCAGGTTTTCGTCAAATGTCTATCAGAGTGCAAGATAATCTAGAAAGCAGATAAAAATTTCCAGAAGATTCCATCAACTTAGAAGTATGCATAATGTCCTGCATCCAAGTTGTACATCAACTTTTCGAAAGATAGTTTCATACAAAAAAGAAAACATCAGCAAGCACGCATCATGGCGTGCAATCCCAAGCACCTGCATAATTCATTAAGCACTGAGCCATAGACCATAGACAACCATACGAGCTACAAGTGCTAACGGTATGTAAAAGGAGCTAACTGTGTCATAACTTCGTAGGAATATAAACAAACGCAAACTGCGTACGTGACTGATGTAATGATAAGAAATTACAAGTATCAATTTGGATGAAGAAATGACAGAAAAAGGATAGTCAATCACAATATGCGATATGCGATATGGACTACCCCAATTAGGCTTTTCATAACGTTCCTGCTATATATCACAACAAACATACAACTATGTCGATTTGTAAGTGTGTTTATTTTCACTAATTTAATAGGAGGTTGAGATGAAAAGCAGAACAAGATAATCTTGTCCAATGTTAAAATTCCTCAAATAAATCAAAACATATTTGGCGCATAGATCTGCTTTTTTTTTTTTACCCAACTATGCCCCACTTGCCTTAAGAGTTTTCTGCCACAGAGGATAGCTACTAGAATAACAGTTATATGAAGTGAGGATTTGAGTATACCCGTGAGAAGCAGCGTTCAACAATGGAAGCTGAGATTTCAGCACCAAAACCACCTGTTACCGGAGCTTCATGACTAATCTACAAAGGAACTTCAACACATCGATATGCAATACCACCCAGAGACAAATGTCAAATTCCACAAAATATTTACTCACGAGTAGTCTTCCAGTCTTCTTGACAGAGGCTTCTATTGTGTCTTTATCCCAAGGTGTAAGTGTCCTCAGATCTATCAGCTCACACGAAATTCCATCCTGCAGAATCCCAAATTCATATTACAATTTCAATAAAAGATGAAAGCTTAGACTTATTAATACATAATAAATATCTCAATCTCTGATCACATGGACATCTAAAATTCGATACATATGCAGCAAGAGTCAGTTGACCTTTTTTTTTTTTTAATTCTTTTATGGCGTACAATGCCTAGTGTTTTTAAGTGGAAGAAAAAACGAATTGACTCAATATGATACTTCTCACTTAAGCAAGTCAGCCACAATGCTTAAATGTAAGCATTAGAATTGTGAAACAGATTACATGATCTCATACCATTTTTTGTCCATTTTTTCCGACAAAGTTTTGGTGAGTTGGCCTTCAGGTGCTCACCTTGAAGCGATTCATGAGATCCCGAAGCATATAAAATGCATCCCAGGAAGAGGCTTGCTATTGGAAAAGAGAAAATAAGGTAGTGTGGAGGTATTCGCCACTGGGCTAAATCTATCAAGGACAGAAGAGCAACTTCAAGATATTACCTGTGTATGGAGCAATCTAATCACTTGGAGAAGCAAAAGAAGAGATGTGGTAGCCAGAAGCAATGTAGAGTGATTAGGGCGGCTGCTTAAGGAATTTGTGAAGGGCTATGGCTACAGAGATTGTTGTGAGAGCTACAGATTGACACGGAGTCATGTATGAAGCTTTATCGCGACAACAATCCTATCATAAACAAATCCCCTAATCTAGTTCAACATGATAGAAATAAATATATTGAGGTGGATGGGCATTTTCTTAAAAGATACTCCCCCTGGTCCTTATAGAGAATTCTCAGCTAATTCTCACATACTGAAGAATGATAGTTAAAACATTAAATTTGCCCTACATTGATTTTTTTTTTCCAAGTTTACCCCCAAATATAAATGATGCAGACAGAAAAACACAGAATTTGATGAGCTTACTAACATTAAACCTTAATTAGTGACATCGGTAAAATTGGTTAGCAATTAATGAATTAGTTGTTCACTTATATTTAGGACAGAAATTGCTTCTAGAAGATGCCCCATAACAAGGACAAGAGGAAGTAAGATGGAAGAAAGGATCTTGCTTTTGACATTTATTCCAACCAGGGAGCAAATAGCTGATATGTTCACTAAAGGGCTTTCAACAGAAATGTTTGAAGTCTCATGAGCAATTTGGGCATAATTAATACATATGATCCAACTTAAGGAAGAGTGTGGTTAAATCTGTAATGCGTGTTTAATTATCTTGTAAAATAGTTAAATGTATTTATTAATTTTTAGGTTGATTCTAGTCAAACACATAGCTTATCTTGGGGAGAAATTACTGAGATTTGACTCCGGTCAGGAAGCATGGCATAGTTTGTGCTCGGATCTCTTTTACAGCACTATATATATTGTGATCATCTTGTGTTGATCGACATACGAGTTTTCAGCTTTCTTAAACTTCAACATCTTTAGAAACTAGAGCAGACACTTTCCACTGGTTGTTCTTTATTCATCACACTCCTTCCTTCTTCAGCCAATACCAGGGTGAATGACTCATTTAAGGATAGTAATACTCCTTATCGAGTATTTGGACTCTCACAGTATCAAACCCAATGTTCCATCCAGCAAGAAACTCGTTTTTGTCTTTTTCCATAAGCCGCTTAAGAATGGTTGCATCTATAGTACACATCACTTGAGTGCATTGATAATTGATTGGTTCCTTGCCATGAACATTTCAGCATATTAGAGTAGTTGGTGACTGACAGACTTCCCAATTTAGCTTTGGCGATTCTGGTTTTGAGCTCAGATTCATGCGGTATCTCAAACCTTAGAATAGAATTGCTGCCCCAACATCCCAAATCCCCTTAGCGGATATGCATGTGTCACTAATTTCCAATGACACAGAATTCCCTAACCAGGACATTACTGACCAATCCTCTTCATTCTAAGCATCAAACTTTGGGATCCCCTGGTTTGGGAATGGCACAGTGGTACCCAACGAGAGATCCAACTTACCTCGTCCTTTGAGAAATATCCGAACCATTTGAGCCCATTTTAAGTAATTTTTCAACTCAATCCAGATGCTGCTTGAATATGTGGCAAGTCATTCGTTTAAGTGGAATCACTGCCAATACTAGATACATCACCTATTGCTGCGGTCTCAGACATAATTGGATGGATGGAAAGTTAAGACTACAGCAGCAAGGAAGTGGCAAAATGAACAAGAGTGAAGATTTGAAATGAATGCAGGCTAAAACGTATAATCTGTAATGAACAAGAGCGAAGGTTAGGATATAGAAAGGGCTCTTCAGGCAGCAAAGCGTAACAAGTGGCTCAATAGACCACAAGAATGGGTGAGGCAATAATAAAGGCCCTGGACAGAGGCTAGGTAAACCAAAAATGACCAGAACACCAATGTAGACAGTTTAGACAAACACAAATTGCACTTTACAAGAACCCCACCAGCGGAGCATAAAACAGCACAAAAACACTGTAGCTAGTCTCTATGGTTGTTGGTGATGTTCTCTGGTTGAGTAGCTGCCAGAAAAGCTTTCCATGCATGTCACACGCCAGCATGTGGGAGCACGTAAATAATTAAGAATTTACTCCTAATAATTATAAAGAAAGCTAGAATGTTTTTCTTCGGCTCCTACATTTTCCCAACGATATATTTGACATGTTTAACCTTTCTATGCTTCCTACAGTCATTCCAGATCCCTAACATTCCAAAACAGAACATTCCTGGACACAAATTATTCACCTTACCTTGACCACCACCCCTCTATATTAATGCTTCAGGTTGCATAAAGAGAATACCCAATGATGATTCAGTGAGCATATCCAAGGAAGGAAAAAAAAAAAAAAAAGCACAAATAGTGTTAAACAAATGCACGTTTTAAGTGCTAGTGCTTCAGTTTCTAATAAAACAATCACGTACTTTTTCAGCATCCAGACAAGCTTGTTCCATTATAGACAACTGAGCTCCCCATCCAACAAGTGTGATATCCCTACCGTCTCGCAGCACCTGATTACACATCCCAGTATTCAACAGATAAATGTTCCAGAATCCAGAATTTAAAAGTTTTTGATAAAGAGCTTCTTTTACTTCTTTTATCTAGCATGAATTGTTGCGTACCTCAGCTTCAGATAGAGGCAACATATAATCATCTTCTGGCACATCTTCAACAGCTAAACGGTAAAGCCACTGAAACCAAGAATTCCAACTTTTGAATTTCAGAATTTGCCAAACACAATTTGAGCGAAGTTATTTCGGAAGAACTCAAACCTTTGGTTCAAAAAATACAACAGGATTTGGATCTCGAATGCAGGATAGCAACAACCCTTTTGCTTGTTGTGGACTTCGAGGAATGACCACCTATACAAGAATTAGAGGGGAAGGGGAACAATGCATCAACCAGGTCAATAGGACAAAAAGAAGAGACCTACTTCTCTGCAAGAACAGTGTCAGCGTGACACATAAACATTCTTATTTTTACCCCATAGCAATCACAAATTTCATTATAATTTACAGTGCACATTTTTAGAAGCATCCTAATTCGATATATTTGAGTATAATTACTGTATTCCTTTACATGTCTCATATGACTTCTAAAAAATTTAAATAAGACTCTTGTCCTGTTATTAAATGCAGTAGATCTTTTAAATCTAGATGCACCCACTTTGCAGCATCAAGCTCAAAGTTTTGTGTCCAAGGACACGCCCCAAGAACCCAAGACACAAGGTGCTATATTACTTAATTAATAAGTGGCAAGGATTATCCAGCCAGAAGAGTATGATGCTGAATGTTATGTATTTATATTTCTTTATTTTGGTTAATCTGCGACATTATCTTTGCTATGGGTCCCATTGGAATTTTACAGATATTAAGATCGACTGGTAATTTTTAAAAGCAGTGCATATTATCTCAAGTAATAATTTAATATTGATAAATCTGAAGAGTTGGCCGGGCGAAAAACATTTACTGGTCATTTTTTCTGTCATTCGATCAAAGTACTGTGTACAAGCAATTAAGGACTGCTGAAAACACAATCCTTGCTAGGTCAAATCCAATAGAATCTAATTCAAACTGCAAACTACCCTGAATCTGCTAACCAAACCATCCTCCCGCCATCAAGATATAGAATCTTTATTCAAAATAACAGGAAGAAAAAATAGTCAGTAGAGAAAAAACCCCCCAAGTCCCAATGATCCGGTCATTGGAGATCGAGGGGGTGTTAGTGGTTATCATAGATCCCTTTCCTTTATGTTGGAGAATCAATCTCAAAACATAAGTAGGTAGTAGTTGAAAGGTGAAATGATGTTACATGGCGGTAGGTAGGTGGTATATTGTAATAACACATGATTGGTAATTAACTTCATTCATTAGATATTCATTATAAATAGGCATGAATGTCGTCCTTTCTAATTCAGGTCCTTCTATATAATTCAGATCAATATATTCTTCTCAAACACTGAATTCTGACAAAAGACCAATTTCTAAAAGCCCTGATTTATGTAAATCAAGGCACAGTTTTTGTTGACTGAAAAAAGGAACAGCTTCTTGAATCACTATCAGTTTCTATACTTGTTCAGTGAGGGGCAGGTAAATCATTTATTTAATCATAAAAGTCTCAAGTACCCTAGCTTAAAGGGGTCTCAAGTACTCTGGAACTTTACTGCGAACATGTTAGAATTCACGTAATGCATAACCTCCGCAATCACACACAAGCCTTCTGTGTTTGCAGACTATTTTCAAGCTCAGGCTTATCCAATTATCTGCATTTAAGACCCCGTCTAAACATTAATACTCTTTTTGATTAGACAGCCCAGCATGAGGATAACCCTGCAATTTCATACACATAAGTTCTAGCACTTCTACAGTGACAAGCACCACATTGTAACCAACCCATATTAAACAACGGAGAAATGAACAAAAGTATAGAAAAAGCAGGTTTCTGAATAGCAAACAGAATCCCAAAGAAAGCGCCATACTTTGATACCAGGAACATGGCAAAAGAATGCTTCAGGGGACTGAGAATGGTAATGTCCGCCATGGCCCACAGCTCCATAAGGAGCTCGAACTGTTAACCCTATGGTAATAAGTAAACTTTTGTGATACAACAACTCAAAGAAAGAAACAGGCCAGAAACTTCAAAAAGAAAAGGGTAAAAGAAATTTACCACCGCAATTAAATTGATTCCCACTACGATATCTGAATTTAGAGGCTTCATTGACAATCTAGAATACCGAAAATGGGTTAATTACAGGTCAGACATGGCTTTAGCTAGTCACAGCCACAGAAAGGGTGCATGCCTGATCAAAAGCAGGATAAATATAATCTGCAAACTGGATTTCTGCAATGGCTCTATTGCCCTGTCACATGAATCAAGACCAAGAACTTACACTATCAGCGAGTCAAAACAGAATAATCATAGCAGATTGTAGTTGTTTGATTGTGAAACAAACAAGAAAGAACTTCTTACACTCACCAATGCTGCCAGACCAATGCCAAATCCAACAATGCCCTGTGTGCAATAAAACATCAGTATATAATTTCTAAACTTGGCGTATCAAGTAGATACTAAATGAGGAAAGAATTAAAAACAAACTTGAGAGGAAAAAAAAGGAGACATTGAGTTATGTACCGGTTGCTAACACAGTCTCCGTATACAAAGTCAAGATAGGATAGGATTCCATTACACTATGTTCAAAAAAGACTCCTTTGTACTCTTGTTTCTATACGTCTGGACTATGCACAATTACAGGAGAGGAAAGGAGAAATTTTTTTTTTTTTTTTTTGGGGGGGGGGGAACACAGCATTTGCAGAGGAATACGGAACATAGATACCTGTTCGCACAGTGGAGTATTAAAAACCCTGTTTTTACCAAACCGGTCAGCTAATCCTGTTGTGCAACGGAATACCCCACCAAAGCTTACATCTTCTCCAAAAACATAAGCACTGGAATCAAATAAAAGAGAATGAGTAGCCATATTTAAAAAATGTGCGGTCACAAGAAATATAACAAGATGAACATAAAGACCATTAAGCCATGCTTAGATAAAATTGCACGTACAGACGTTAAAAGAATAAAAATTATGTCTCCCACCATTTCTCCCCAGCCTCAAGGAATTCTCCTCTAGAGAGTAAAACAATCAATACGACACCAACAGGGCAAGATGTGAGCGGGAAACTCCAAGTAATGCCTGAATCAGGAAAACCCTTCTAGCAAACAAGATTATGGTGGATGGTATCAAATGAAGACCAACCAATCTGAGCATCTCGGAATGTAGCAATAGGTGGTGGAATGAACATTGATAAAGGAAAATCTTGCTTGAAAAACCTATTCTCAGCGTTCCAAACAGCATTCAAATCTAGAAAGCCTTTCTGACAAACAAGGTACTAGTAGCGAGGATAGTCAGATAAAAACTTGCCCCTCCAAATTTACAACAATGTCCACAATAAGTGGCATAGGAGATGGATGAGGTGGAACCTGAGCATGATGAAATCAAGTACTAACATTAATAGCTTTAAAAGGCACACTTGTCGCTAATGAAGATTGGATAACAGCCAAGTTCGTACTAAGCAATTCCTTTCTGTAGACTAAATTCTAGAACACAAGAGAAACAAAATCCTCACTCACAGTAAGCGAAGAGTGCAGTAAGGGACGCTTTGTAGGGTTCATGGGAGAGACCACTATAGTTTGTGGCGATGAAAACATCAATATTGATGAATTACCAGACAACTGAGGTTGTTGTGAAGTGATTTCAGTAGGAGAATTAGTACCACTAGATACTCCAATGGCACAAATATAGAGAACACTGAAAAATAGCATTTACTTGAGGCGGACAGAACAAGAGATTAAAATTCTTTACTCAGCGCACATACATTTATATCTATGCATTCTTTACATGTTCATAGGAATACTTGTCATTTAACTTCCTTCAGACGCAATTCATTCCTGACAAAATTAACAGAATTCCTATGTGTTGACATACTTGGGCTTTCCACAGGGCCCTCCCAATTCAATCTTTAGGCACCAGTAACATAAACCCTTCCTTCCCCTCTCAATCTCGTTCTTGCACAGCTGCTTCACTTTTTTGGTCAGGGTAAGTGGTGGTGATTAAATATAATCTTGTTAATGCTGATGACTCTTTTTTTCCCCCAAAGGCTGTGGTATTATTCTTAATAGCTGAAATTGTTTAGGTCTTTTGGAGATTGGATTCAAGAAAGAAGCAAAAAAGAGTTGGTTTTGATTGTGTCTTTTGATCTGGTTATTGGTTATTCTGGAGAGCGAAGATTGGCATTTCTTCAAGCCTAGCAAGATACATGGTGTTTGACCAGAAGTTTGGCTCAACCATCCTGACAGAGAAACTGAGGCCTCTGCTTCTCTTTAAGGTCTCTGAAGAAATAAATAATTTCTAACTTTACTGTGGTTCTCACTTTCTTATTTCAGGAGTTAGGTCACTTAGTAGGAGTAGGGTAGTCGGAGAAAGAGTACACGCTTATTGTCTTTAAACAAATAAGTTAAGAGAATTATTAACCCTCAATTTCTTGCCTAATTAATTTGGATAATAGCCATTAGCAATTTCCTCCTATGCAGACACAGACCTTGGCTGGTGTTTAGCTCAGTTGCAGGCGGTTCGCATTTATGGGGATAAGCTAGCCTATCATCATTGACCAAGAACTAGGTGTACTGTCCTAGATCTCCTACAGGAAAACTTTAAATTCACTAAAAGAATATTTAAGTGTCGCTACTGTCACACATATTATCGAGATACTGTTATTGCAGTCACAATTTCGGTCCAAGCTGAGACATTTGGGGACAAAAGTGAGATGGTTGACAAAATAGATGCTCAGTTAACATCCCTGTCAACTCAAAAATCTCCTCAAGTTATTGGATATGAGCAACTGAATCTATGTTGAACATTCGTAAGTTGCCAGTAGAAGTAACAATTAATCAGTCTTGCAGAAATCCGTGAGTCAATAGAACTACCATCAAATAATCATTAGAACTCGCACGATGACATTATCTAGAAGCTGACAAAGCTTCATCATCTCTTAACATGACCTCGAACCCTACCCCCCTCCCCTCCATCACATGCTTTGCAAAAGATAGTAACCGTTTGAGATTGGGAGTGACTGTCATAACAATCAAGGAAATCAATTGAACACAAACTCATTCAGATACCAAACAAAAATATGCAATTTCGTTGTGTGGCTTATAGCCCCCAGTAAGATTTATTATCTTGTGCGAGGAAAAGAATGCAATTGCATGCCTCATCATATCACAGCGGATAGTTGAACGAAAAAATAGAACATCAAGAACACAAACGTACAAAATATTTACAAGCCTAAGAAACCCACCGTGGATCAGTTTCCAACGCAATGTGAAGAGCTTGGTTGATGGCCGAATAAAGGTTTAATGATTTCGGGCTTCGTTCAGCACCCTTTTCAAAACAAGAGGAATTCGAAAACTCCCTCTTGGAAACAAAGGAGACCCACCTTCCGAATCTCCTCATGCTGGCGAACATGTTTATTGACTACAAAAGAAGCAATTTAAGCTCATCTTATGGGCAAGATAAGTCACAGTGGTTGCAGTTTTATTTACACGAAATGACATTTTTGGATAATAAAGTTTAGACAAATTTTGCCGGAACAAGTATACTTGATATAATTTGCCCGCAATGTCCGGACTACGTGATTAACAAACTTCGGGCTTGCGCGTGAATCACAGAACTGAAGATACTGACTTCAAGTTCCAACGAGACACTCATACACAACTAACGTCATCGTTCTAATTTCGTTCCATCGGAAACAAAAAGTAATTTTAAATAAAATAGAAGGATAATATAGGGCTTGGAAGCATGCTCCATCAGCAACGAGTTCAAGATAACAAAAAACAAAATTGATTTGGAAGTTGGAACACAAGTAAAAAAATAATAATAATAATAATAATTCCAGTTTAAAACAACAAGAGATAACAAGCAAATATGTTTCTGCAAGTCATGAAAACTTCCAGAATATGTTGTTTGTAAAGTTCTAGAGTTAGAATAACGAGGGAATCAGACGTTGAACTCCTTATGGAGCGGGACTGTAACTACCCCATTGATACTGGGTAGACATTCCAAGGCTTTTGCCTCCCCTTTATGTATCAAAAATAACATGGGAATCAGACAGCTAGGGGAGGGTAAAGCCGAGAACAGCAGCAAATACGCTAGTAATTACACAAAGGTGGATGCTGACGTTTTCGTTCTAGTCCTGTCCACGAGACCACGAGAAGGACGAAGAGACCCAGAAACAAGGATTACAGTGAAGAGGAGGATGGGGGCCAGAGGAGGACGAGGACGAAGGGAATGAGGAATGGGACAAAAGAATATTTAGACCACTCCTTGGCGAGAAATCCACCATTAAAATAAGCTGCAGGTTGGTAGCAAATAGGTTATTGCATAATGATAAACATGTAAGACGTGTTTTATCACCACCATCAAACCCCCGCTAAATAGGGAGCTTATCTCATCCCTGGCTTTCTCAAGTCATCTCATACTTACCTTTTTTTTTTCCCTCCTTTTACACGCATCTCATGCTTATCTAAATCGCTACGTCAACGCATGAAGATCATGTCTCTTGGTGTATTGAATAATGATAAACACGTAAAAAGTGTTTTATCACCAACATCAAACCCCCGCTAAATAGGGAGCTCATCTCATGCTTATCTTTGTCAAGTCATCTCATGCTTGACTTCCCCCCCCCCCCTCCCTCTACATGCATCTCATGCCTATTTAAATCGCTACGTCAAGGCATGAAGATCATGCCTCTTGGTGTAAGAACTGTCGCGGGATTCTGCCGACACTTTAAGCGTTTCAGTTGACCGATGGAAGCCGAGACAGAACCACGGGGAGATAGAAGCTCTCTCCTCTGCGCTTGCTTTCCTATCGTTATCATTAAATTAAAAATCTAATGATTCATATTTAATAACAATATATTTATAATTTTGCTTTAAAATATATAAATAAATTTAAACAGTTAAAATTTAAATTTAAGCAGTTCATAACTAAAGACTATTCTCTGGTAAAAAAAAACTAAAGCCTGTTATTATAATGGGAAAATTGCTATAAAGTCTCCCCCAAAAACTGCAGCATAGTTATTAGTTTTTATACCTAAGTTGTTAATTACTGCTTTTTCAATTGTCAATACAAAATTTTAAAAAAAAAAAGACAATTTAATAATTAATAAATAAAATTTTTGTAATGAGGTCTCTTGAGACTTTAGAATAATTTGATAATTTCAAGAGACTTTTTTATATTTAATTCTCATGAGTGGGACCTAATTACAATTTTTCCTATTATAAATTACTTTTTTTCAATTTGTTTTACTACCGTTGTATGAGCTAGACAAGAGTGGAGAGATGAAATCAACTTTTAGACATCAATTAATTTTAACAAATTTTTTATAAAAATTTCTCCTTTATTTTAAAACCTACATTTAAGTTCAGCAAAAAAATTTAAAAACATATGCTTTAGTTCATATCATTAAATCGTTCATACATTTTAATTCAGATTATTAACATTATTTTTTTATGAAAGGGAAATTTTAAAAACAAATTAACAACAGCTAACCCAGGAGAATTTGGATGCCATCACCCATGGAAAGGGATTTTTTTTTCACAAGGAAATCAACCTACTTGTTCTCATCCCTGTTAACATGATGTACTTGTTTGATCCAATCCTTTTTTTTTATTTTTGTAAGCAGCCGATATCTTTCACACACAATAACAAATTCAGACTAATCAGACATGACAAGAACCATTAAAGTTGGTGCCCCTACCCCCTAAGATGCTGCATTCCCACGTCTCAAACTCGAAACTCATGGTTAAGCTAGAACAGCCTCAACGAACTAATCTATCAGGGTTTGTATGATCCAATCCTTAACAAAGTTAAAGAATATTGTGAAAAGATTTCTAAAATATATTTTTAATTAAAAGTCATATTAGAATAAGTTTCGCTTATTAATTTTCAGTATATTGTACTAAATATCTAGTTTTATCTCTTAACATTAAATATTTATTAATGATCTTTTAATGCTGGTAAAAAAATGATCTTTTAATATTTTTACTAAATTTAAACAAAAATTAAGTAACTTAAAATATTAACAACTTGATGAAAATTTTGTGTAATTTTTTGGACATAGATATGCATTACGAAAAATATTTAAAAATTTTGAATTACAACATGTTAACATGAGAATCTCAAAATCATATTTTATAACTTTATAATTTAATTAAAATATATGTATAGACATCCGGTTGATTGTAAAACATTTTCAGCCAACATATACATTTAAATTTAAAAGATCACATCACAAATAAATTTTAATAAATAGATGAGATTGAAAATTTAAATTTATTAATAAAAATAATTATATTTATAAAAATAATTAAATTTGTATAGTGCAAAAAATATTAAAATATGTATTTAAACTGTTTTTTAATTTCAGCTAAAGATGTGTCATATATGATTAAATGATAATCATTAAGTAATGTTCATGTAAAGAAGAGACATTTTAGTCAAAGTAACATGTTAACATTATGATTTGGTACTCAACTAGTTTGGTGAATGAAAATTAAATCTCAAAGTTATAAAGGAGATTTCTAAAACATGTATTTTAATTTCATAGGATGTTTATGTTAATTTTCAAAATAAAATGGAGGCCTCTGTTATTAATAGAGGGGAGATTAATGCATTTTTCTCATTTGTAAATAAGTTAACATCAGTTTTTGAAATTTAACCTGATTATGATTTTCATATCTAAAATTTGAAATCATTGTTTTAGAGATCAAAAATATTATTTTAGAGACTAAAAATCTTTAAGTTGATCAAAATGAAAACAAATTTTAGGTATTAAAACCATTTATTTCAAATCTCAATGACTAAAACCGAAACAAGATCAAATTTTAAAAATTAAAAATGGTATTAACATTTTATAAATTGACCATATACGCTGTTTGAATTTCTCTGCATATTTTTTAAAATGAAAAACACATGTGTTTTTTTTTTTTTTGGGCTCTTGGCAAAAGAGGGGGTTTTTCACCCAACATTAAAGAAACTAGTTTAATTGGGGATTAGCTCCCATCCAATCTTTGCTACTCAAAAGTCCTAAGATAAGAAGGACGATCATGTAGAAGAGAGGTATGCGAAATCCCCTCATTAGCCCAAAGCATCAGCCAGTCAATTTGGCTCCTAGAAATGCGCGTTTTCATGATCTCCCAATTACATCTCATCATCTTCTGCACCTGTACAGAAACAAGACATACGGGAGGCTTATAGACGTAACGTACTCTCGATTCTGAGGACTGAAGGCATGGCTGGTAAACAAGAGGCTTCCACAAAATCGGCGCGCTCCGGATTCAACGCACATCACCCGATTGCCTCTACGATCATGAGCCTTTTTCCTTTTTTTTTGGGCCCAAGCTACGATCATGAGTTTATAACCGACACTGGTTGCTCATAAATCTGACATCTTTAACTTTTCTTTTATAGAAGACAAATTTTATTAAAGAAAATAAAATGTTACCCCACTAAATAAGTCTATTTACATAAGATTAGCAACTAAAACAAAAAGAAAAAAAAAAGAACATTACACAAAGAAGAAAACAAACATATTTAACGTAATCGACATTTTTAACCTATTAGAGTTGGTAGGCCATAATAAAACTGATTTTGATTGGAACTAGTTAAACGTCTTCATGATAACATAATTTATCCTGACTTCGCATATTCATTGAGCTAATACAAATATTTAAGTCTCATTTGGTATAAGCATTGAGAATGAGAGATAGAAATTGAGATTGAGACTAAAAAAATATTTGATATAAATGATTATTTGTTATTTGGGATCGGATAAACGGAGATTAAATAATACCCTAGAAGGAGGTGATGTTAAAAATTTAATCCTGGATTAGGATTTTTCATATTAAAACGTATCCCCTTCCCACCAAACATCAAGGGCCCTTTTTAATAATAGATTATTATGGCCTCGTGACAATTTATAATTAATTTAAAAATAAAATTAATGTAATTATTCTCTTCAAATATTACTCATACCAAATACAATTTTAAAGCTCAATCTTACTCCTAATCCCACTTCCACACCCAATCCCATTCACATTCACGATTCATCAACCTTAGCGTGCACAAAAATATTTTTAGGAAGATTGTCTAGTGAAAAAAAAAAGAAGCTTTTTTCTCATTTAAAACTGAACCAGATCCCATTTCATCTTATTTGGGCCATGGGCTCCAACCCAGTCTCTAAAATTACATGGCTATCAGGCTATCAAAATGGTCAGGTTGAACCGATCAGGGTTGGGTATAACATAAGAGTTTATTCTTACAACGTAGTGCTCGAATTTTCAATTGGAGAGATGCTAACAATATATCCAATAAGGTTGCCTTAATTATCTTCGGGGGGAAAAATTGCCGAGTTGAGAAACAAATGAAAAACCCAATATGGACCACTGAAATGCAAGCGTTTCATGTGAAGAAGTACATTGTTGCATCACTTCGAGAATTATGATTTAAATAACCAAAAAAAAAAAAAGAAATCCAATAAAAGTTGAGCCTGTGCTCCTATTAACCACTCACTGGCATTTGAAGCTCCCATTAACAGTGAACATACATCACGGTTTAAAAGTCAGAGTTGAGCGGGCGCCTGCCGCGTTGAAGCCTCGTCTTGTAGCCGCTTGCCAGTCTCAGATTTGGCTTGTCTCGAGGTGCGCATGATGGTGGGGTCATCAATGGAATCTTTGGAAAAATGGGGTTAAAAATATCAAATGAATCGAAGTTACGTAAAAACTAAATTATAATTTTAAAAAGAATTTTTTATAAATGGTTTTGGTTGAACCAAATACTCCCCAAGCCTATTTGGCACAGGGAAAGGGGGGGGGGACAAATATTTTTTTTGGGATTGATCAAAAGAGAGGAAAGCAATGAAATTTTAATGTTATTTTCTTTGGTTTAAAAGATATACTAGAAAACATATTCTTAGATGAACAATTTTACTCTTATTTATTTAAGTTATTTTTTAAAATTGAATAAAATATAATTATAAATGACATTTATTATATTAAATTATAATGCATAATTAATAGCTAACATATATTGAATAATTATATTATGAGTAAAATACACAAAGTACGCTTTTATTTTAGTTCAATTACAGAAACCTTCCATCTATTTTGAAAATATATATAAACGTTTTTTAAAATTAAAACGTATGTTATACAAACCTCCTTCTTATATTTAAAATTTTATTTTTATTCGCCCAAATCATTAGTTAGTTTGACTTTAAATTATTTTTTTACCAAAATGCTCCTTTTTAACTTAATAATTATTTAGACATTTATATTTTTTAAAAAATATTTTGATAAAATCAAAAAAATTATAATACATATATTTTAAAATTTTCTAATATGTTATAAGATTTATTAACTTTGATCCAAATCATAAAATTTATAATTTTAATATTTTATCACATTCACTGGAAGTTGTTTACTTTGATTTCTTTTAAATTATAAAAATATATTTCAAATATATAGTTTTTGTTTACCGTAAAGTTTTAAATATTATAAGTTTGAAAGATTTTATAAAATATTTAAATTTGTAATTCAAAACTTTTAAACACATCTTTATTGTAAAAATTTATAAACATATTTAGTTAAGTATATATATTTATTAAAAAAATTAGTTAA